TTATGCATTGCAAGTTGAGAGGAGAGCTGGATGTTGCATGCATATCATGTCAATTTACGTGTAGCTGAGGAGGATGTCATAAGCCCTTACTATATGACAGCAATGCTTATGTTGGCAGTGTTGCTGCAGGTACATGTCATGATTCATGTACAAGGTAACAAATATTGTCAACGTGCATGCACTCATCGTGAAATATTTATGTGTCTTTCTAGCTCTCTTGTTATGATTTCATCTTGTGCCGTAAAGATATTGACTTTTTTTGTTAAATGACCTGCCTCTTAGGATGTCTGTTGATTCAAAAAAGCCCTCCGGATTAGAATTAATGAAATCCAGATTAACAAATCTTATTACATGTAAAAGTCTATGCAATTTTCCCACATACTTAATTTCGACATCACAAATATTAAAAAAAGGTTTTATCGAAATGATCACCGTTCTCCGAAGAATTTTCATTTTTTATATGCCAGTATACATGTAAATGACTGGTGAGAATGTATGGAACTGCACACAGATCAAACAGTACTGTTAGTCCTTGTACCATTGCAAACTGCCCTCACTGTACTGCCTCAAACCACCCAGCACTCTATGGTTTTAACTTTTATGGGTTTTATCAGTGAATAAATACAATGTGATACAATGTAATACAATGTACAGACGTGCTAATGGGTTAATTAGACTGACCACTTCTGGCTTCCCCAAGAAAATCACAGCCCTCTCCAAGTGAGCCTTACATTACAAATTGTGTAAAGCAAACTGCTATGCATTTGTATAGCAGAAGCACCTGTAAGTGTAAAGTAATTTTTGAAATTCTGCATAGCAAAAAGTTAAGCCATTATTAGCACCTGTATTACATTGTATTACATTGTATTACATTGTATTTCATTGTATTTCATTGTATTACATTGTATTTATTCTATGATGTACAGTACATGTATCCATAAATCCATAGAGTGCTCAGGTGGGTTTGGCATTTCAGGGAGTAACAGGCAGGGCGGTTTGGGGCGATACAGGAACTGATGGGTTCAGATTGCCTCGCATTTTGCCATGCGAAGCAAGTCAAATCACTCACTATCCAATACAGTGCAGTACCAAGAATCCTGCTAAGTAGGCATATTTGACTAATTGACATTATGCAGTGCTGCCAAACACTTACATGTATGTATATCACAAGTTCTGGTTGCGTGCAGGCAGGCATGGACAGATTTCAATTATTGATGATTGGAATTCAACCGTCCCCTCCCCGGGGAGATTAAGACAGAGAGGGGTGGCTGCAGGGGTAATTAGCGATGATGAGATGACCCTTGGAGGGGAGTGGGGTGATCAGGGTGACATGTGTACACAGTAACCTATGTATCATAGCATTATCTCTGGGGATGGGAATAATGTTCAGTCAGTGATACAGCCAAGATCTTAACAAGACAAGGCTGGCCTAGTGTAGAAGGTTTCACCGCTGACGGCGGTTACATGTACCGGGTATGCTACTGCTGGTTGTCACAAACTCCACAATCAAACAGGACAGTCTGAACTGTGGTGTGGTGACTTCCGATTACAATCTTTAAATCCATTATAATCCAAAGATATGTAATCAATAAATTAACGATATTACAATTTAAAGGGAATATACATCATTTGCTTTTGCTGTAATTTTCAGAAATGGATGGAATTGGGGGGTTGGAAATATATAGCAAATATAGTTACACTGACTTTTTTGAGGTTTTGGTTTTGAAAATGCTATAAAAACCAAGAAAAACGATCCTTTTCCTGTAGTCTGGTTCCCTGACTCCATATAAGAAGAAACAGAGCAGTTTACATACATTGGGAAATTTTAAGGTCAGGGAACCAGTCTAGCTGGCTCGTACCCGTTCATAGGTTTGTAATCAATTGCAAACAAGTGCGATGGTCAATTTGGGCCAGTATTTGAAAAAAAGCCAGTTTTTTCCAACGCTGATCGGCCGATCAGCGTTGGAAATTGATACAAAAATACCACTTTTCTTGAAAATGACAGTATACCAGGTGCCATGATTTTACAGGATGCTTTACACTGTCATTCACTAACAGTCCAGCAAGGTATTTCAAAATGATTTGGTAGTTTTATTTTTCGATGTTTGCAAATGTTGTATTTTCCCTTTAAAGGGAATATACATCATTTGCTTTTGCTGTAATTTTCAGAAATGGATGGAATTGGGGGATTGGAAATATAAAGCAAATATAGTTTCACTGACTTTTTGGAGGTTTTGGGTTCGAAAATGCTATAAAAACCAAGAAAAACGATCATTTACCTGTAGTCTGGTTCCCTGACTCCATATAAGAAGAAACAGAGCAGTTTACATACATTGGGGAATTGTAAGGTCAGGGAACCAGTCTAGCTGGCTCGTACCCGTTCATAGGTTTGTAATCGATTGCAAACAAGTGCAATAGTCAATTGGGGCCAGTATTTGAAAAAAAGCCAGTTGTTTCCAACGCTGATCGGCCGATCAGCGTTGGAAATTGTTACAAAAATACCACTTTTCTTGAAAATGACAGTATACCAGGTGCCATAATTTTACAGGATGCTTTAGACTGTCATTTACCAACGTCCTATTAAGGTATTTCGCAAAAACTTGGTAGTTTTATTTTTCGATGTTTGCAAATGTTGTATATTCCCTTTAACTTACGACTTTAATGGGATTTTGTAGCATAAACTTATAATAGGATCGCAAGACAGATCCAAAACAGGTCATCGCGACACAACGACGAACTGAAAGCATAACGAGAACTGCCATGCGCAAATGCGATTACGTGTACCGGTAAGTGTGCGCAAGTGCTCTTAAATTCGCGCAGACAAACATTAGTCCTTACACCTTCATGTACAAAGATGATCCCAGAGAACACAAAATTCTATTGAATTGAATATGGCTGTTCACTGGAAGTCTTTTCATGCATCTTGTGGCCAGATTTAGTCTATGACGGGGTTATCCTATACAATAGCACTGCCCAGTTCTCTTCACCAGCCAACAACTAGTTTGTATAAAGCGACAGTGAGTCAGTCAGTCAGTCAGTCAGTGAGATAGGTACAAATGGGGGAGTGGCCTCATTTTCTTTGGGGGGGGGGGGAGGTGGGAGGACACTCCTCTATTGGCACCCACCCCTAGTTCCTGCTGATTAACAGTGGTGGAATTCTTCAGTAGAAATATGGTCCCTATTGCTTTGAATTTTTCGTAATTTCTTCATTGGCCTACTGCGTGCACAAAGTGGCTTTCTGGTGGTGGACGTTGCAAAATTTACCAGCTGGTGTGAAGGTGTTTTATAGGCCATATGGTCTATTTTACAAGTGCACTTTTGGTTGGCAGTCGGTTACTTACACTGTGTGCTTGTGTGAAATGCTGATTCTCAGGCTCAATTTGCTCTGGATCATGCTTTATGATTTGGCCATGCAGTGCTGTCAAGAGGTTTATGCAATTAACCTCTTGCACATATACCCCATAGTGGAACAAGTGCAGGCTGTACTTGCAAATAAAGGCCTTTCCCCCCATTTTTCCTGCATCATATAGGTCGCGAATCTATTAATAAGTACATGTATTAACCTTTTCATTGTCTTCAAGTTCCTGAAGCTGGCCAGTGCAGTCTCTCAACCTCACTCTGCAAACGACCCGTAGCAGTTCTCACAATTTTTCACCACATAACCACAGGGCCTGTCTGTCCCAGCCCGAAAACTCTTGACTTAGCACGGGAAACGTCTTAAGTCAAAGACCAGGATATTATACAGCCTTAAGTGTCTTCTAAGGAGCTTTTTAGCCGGGGCCGTGTTTGGATAAGATCACCAACACTGGCTGAAGCTTTCAAATGTCACGTCATACGTTCCCAATCAATACCCCCCTCGGTTGTCCCCGACTATCCGATCCGCAATCCCGCGGACGCTGTGTGTTTTTCCTATCTGGAGACTTGGGATATTTGGTTGATTGAACATGCATATTGTGTAGTAACACAGGACAGTGCAGGGGCCCCCATTTTGATCAGGGCAGGTGGGGGATGTTTATATTGGTATTTGCTCCAAGCAGGTGGCATTTCAGAGATTCAATTCATCATTTTTGTGTGTGTGAAGGCAGGAGGGGGGGGGGGTGCTTATTCGTGACTGTGCATGTTTCAAACACTTCAGAATCAGCTCAATATGAAGATGTAGTATTGATTGTATTTAGCTTGATGCAGATCCCCTAAGCAGTTTGTGATTTTGTCTGTGTGTGTGGTTTTTTCCCTCTTCTGTTTTTGTGAATATACTTACTTTTAGCTGAAGATAGTGTCACGTGACTCAGGATTGCAGGAGACTGAATTTGTTCAGCCAATTTGTGGTATGACTAAATTCAAGTAAAGAACATTTTCAAGCCGGCCTTTAAAATCAAATTAGAACTCGCTTGTGAGTTTTTGCTGGTCCCAGAGGGCCGGCCTAGTGTCCGCTGTGTACCTATCTGACTGACTGACAAACTGAGTACCTACTGACTGACTGACTGACTCCCTTTCACATGTGACTTACAGCGTTTTCGAAACAACTGTCTTAGGGTTCGTCTTCGGCTTAAAGAGATTTGAGGCCCCCAACTTCTGGAACTCCAGCTATATTTTGGTGCCTGTTATGCTTCAGCAACATTCAGTCCGTTGATTTGAAATCAAAAGTTGGAATATTTGTTTTTCAGTGATTCAGATCTTGGAGGCAAAGCCGAAGACGAAGCAAAGGTTTTGAAAAAAAAAACGTAGACAGGTTGTAGGCTGGTGAAGAGAGCAGGGCAGTACTATTGTATAGGAGAACCCTCCAACACGAATGAATCAGCTAATTCCGTCTCATTGTCTAGATCAGATGCATGAAAATACTTCCAGTGAAAAGCCATTATGAATCAAACAACCAACATCAAAACAATAAATAAATTAACTAAATAATTTTATCTATTAGCCTTTAATCGGCGGTTTTCCACTGTAAGCTATGAACAAAATACATAAATCAGAAGTTGTTTTCATTTTTCTCTTTTTCTTAGGTGATAGATAGTTTGAACAAAATTGAGAGCACCAAGACCTTCACTGAGTTTGTCCAGTGCTTCAGCCAGTTTGGAAAAGAGATGGTGGAACTAGCACATCTGACTGGTGACCGGCAAAATGTGAGTTGTCTCCCGTCAAGTTGTTGCTTTGTCATTTAAGCTGTGAAATTAGTACTCATCTTAAAGTTGGCACTGCAGAGGGATGAGTGAGTATTTGAGTAAATCTCAATTTGTAAAGGGTCAAATTTAGGGTATGCGGATAATGTAATGATGTGAACTTCCTGATAGAGTTTTTGTCAGAATTGAAAACTCAGCTGTCAAAATTGGTTTAAATTTGAAAGCTGATTGTCCGCGTCAGGGATGTAGTCAAGTCCATCACAATTCCCTGCATATCCATCACAGGTCCTGCAGTCCCCTTTCAGATTACAAGCTGTTTAATTAAGCTTGACAAAAGACATTCCTTTTTTTTTTATTGTTCATCCACTGTTTCTCGTGACTTGATTTGTGAATGGACTTGTAATTTGTGATGGACTCGATAACATCCCTGGTCCAAGTTGTTGCAGCCCACAAAACTGTTATGTATATTGACATACCGAAATATAAGAACTGCATGTAGATTTTCCGTGGAATTTTACCAGGACCTGAAAGACGGGAAGATGAAAGCCAAGATGGCGGCTGCCCGAGCGATACTAGAGAGATCCACCATGATGCTACTAACATCATGCAAGGTATGACAGTAGTGCACACACTGAAAGTTGCAATGAAGTCACGTTCTGGGCTGTATGTTATAGATTTCACCAAGTAGAGTCCGGTGAGGATGAATGCCAACTTGTCAGTGTGGAATTTCACTAATGTTCAGCTGATTGAAAACCTCCGTGTGATTTTACCAAAAACATGTTGCCAGTGATACTTAATGTCGCATTTGCCTTTTCAAAGAAGCTTTGATATTTTTCCAGATACTTGCAGTGTTTATCTGATAGCGCAAGGCACCCCCTTCCCAAAATAAATTTAAGAAAATTAAACAATAACACAAAAAGCACACAAGCATGGTTAACCATATGCCTACTATAATTCCTGGTGTCATGAATCCTGTCTCTTGAAAATGTTGTTGTGTGCGGTTTGTGTGTTGCTGGCATGACACAAATCGATATACAAAGAAGTGTTGCTTTTGTACCTGTACCATCCTCCCTCTTTTAATAGCATTTATTTAACCTATAAAGACTGCATGTTTTGATGATTAGCACACAATGTTAATTTCCATGGACGCGCACCGGTACGTGACCTTCTACATGTTTACTTGCATCAGCTCAAAATTCATTGATTTATGAGATATTTATGGGTTTAAACTATGACCAAAAATATCTCATCCATATGTTTCACATGGTGATGAGCAATGCATGAACTGCACTCTACACAAATTTAAAGCCCGATATTTTTTTTTGAACTACCGTAATTATATAATAGTAAAATTGCATTTCAGGTTTTTTTTGTCAACTTAAATTGAAGATTGATAATAGACTTAAGAAATTGGCTTATGTACCTCCCTCTGTGTCACATCAGGAGACAGTCAAATTACAAGACATTTTGTACGCTGTCCCTTCTAGACATGTCGACTAGGAATACCTGTTGTGAAGACCTTGACATTTTCCGTCAACAGCTCCGGACTTCTTATCCTTGTTTTAATTTCCTGCTTCGTTTTTTCTCCCCCCCCCCTTCCGATCCCCACGGCAGACGTGCCTTAGACATCCTGACTGCGTGCCAGCCAAGGAGACGCGCAACGGCGTGTTTGTCAACATGCGTCGCGCCCTCAGCCTCATCGACGATGTCATCAACGGCGGTTATGCCCAGCCCATGCAGAACGGCATCACCACGTCCAGGAATACAAACAACGCGCTACAGGAGCTGATAGTAAGTGGTAGATTGGGAGAAAACGCTGACTTCTCTGATAGAGGTGTGGGTGTGAATATATGAGTAAACACTTTTGGTTTTATTTATTAGGCACCAGAATTTTCAACTTCCTCAAGTTTAGAAAATTTAATAAAACATTCATTTCAAAATGGCCTCGGTAATGGTTTCCTTAACTGAAGTTTATGGAGAAATTTTTCCTTTTCTCATTGTTATTGTTTACCCATTTTTCATGTGTTGGCAATGGAGAATTCATGTCAGTCTGCATAAGGTAGATAGTTCCATTTCTGACTTGGTGGCCAAACATTTTTACTCTGAAATTAAAGTCAACTTTGACTTTTCTTGTTTGAGAATGAAATCCCAGACCTGCCCAGCAGACAATAGGCCTCACTTGCCAAGGCATTTTGTTAGGAACTTGTAAGTCTCCTTAATCCTCAATTGTATATAATCAGTGGCGTCAATGAACATTTTACAGGAGCCGGGCTTTACGTGTACATTCCTCAATCCTCCAAAACCGTCAGGTGAATTTTGTAGAATCTTGGAGGGTAGTATGCGATATTTTAGATTCCTCTATTTTTTTCTCTCTTAATAACAACCCAAGGATCTTGTGGAAACGGCCAAGGTCACCCAAGCTGACAAGTCCAGCCGAGACAAGCTGCAGTACGTACTAGACACTGTCATTGACACCACGCAGGACTTCACCGACTCGGCCTACACGTCTCACGAGCACAGGGAACGCATCCTGACCCTGCGGGACAGGGCTAGAACGGACCTGCGGACCCTGGCCAGCGTGGGCGCTGTCCTGGTGAGTAGTCTGAACACTCACTTGAGCATTTGGTTCCGATAATGAGTCCCAGACTTGGCCATGACCTCAGACACAGATTCAGAATGACCAGTTTAACTGAAGAGAAACATCATCCTGCATTGTAGCTGATTTATTGTGAGGGTTTTAATAACATGTGTGAGATCATGTCTGTAATCTCACAACAGATCCCCTAACTACTCTGAATGTAGTTTTGTGGTTACATGTTATGCTAAAGTTTTCCTAGCATTGTTGAAACAAGCCTATTTGCATTTTCTACCCATGGACAGCATCGTATAAAAGCACTTGTATAAGTTCATGTTGACATCGTCTATAGGTGCTTTGTTTGATCCTTGCTTCATTGCCTAAATTGAGCTGCAAAGAATTGAACGTATGCGTGGAATGCTGTAGCCTAAACGGGAATCAGAAAAGGCTGTTACACAAAACCAAAGGAAAATTTTACGAACTTATCTTTGTTTATAACCCATAAACCTTACCAGATCTCCATTCCTAAAAGTATGTACAGCTCATTGATAATGGAATCTGAGCCCGAATCCCCTCAACGGCATCCAAGAGAGATAATTATGAGGATTCATGTATCGCTAGAGCACAGGGAGGAGAAGGCTAAAGATGAGGTGGTTTAAGGAATGGTGTCTTAATCCAATTCTGCGATGATGCTAAATGTGTTGAACCAACACCTTATCATCTTATTTTTGTAGTGGAACACCATTGCTGTGGTGCACCTGGCCAAGACGGTATTAGTTTATGCAAATTCACAAACATTTGCACACGTGGTGTGTCCCACACACTGGAGCTTCCATGAGTGTTCACACAGCACAATCTCCTGTTCCTTCACCCTCCACCTATTCCATGTCAAATTGGTCACACATCTCACACCATTTTTTTGTCTCACTTTATTTTTCAAGGAAAAGCGACCAAACAAACAACATGAGCAGGACCTGGAGACATGCATACAGCAGATGTCCAAGACATTGCTGGATCTCAAGAAGCAGCTGCAGAACACGGCGTTGGACCAGGCCTCAGAGATCTTCCGTTCCAACGATGACCAGGATCTCCTGGCCAATCTCAAGCAGACAGGGGCCACTGGCGACCTGGACAGGGTGGAGGAACACTCGCTCAAGTTCAGTGAGCACTCAGAACAGCTTCAAGAGGTATTTGGATGCTCTCATCTTGCTAAGAATTGCAATTTATATTTTTCCCAAACCCAAAGTTTAGCTCACCTGTTCTTCAGGTATTCTCAGATTTTTAGAGTTTTTTACACCTTCTCTGTTGAAGAGTTTAGCAAGTTTACTTAGGCTCCAATTGGGCAGTAATTGAGTGTTATTGTAATTTCTGTGGACAATGTGAACTTGCTCTACATTTACTTGAAGACGGCAGATTTCTGGTCAAATTGCTTGCCCTCATGTTACAGCACCAAGTATTCATGTGATGCGTTATTGAAGTCAGCTTGACGATTGTAAGGCATTAGCTTTTTCTGAAATGAGCAAAATCCATAAGGTGTTGCTGGCCATACATATCAGAGGTTAACGATTCAAATTGAACAGTAAATTGATGAAAGCAGTCTTTGCTGCTCATGTTTGTTCTCACAATTGTTTGTTGGTACACATACTCATATAAAAAAAAACTCAGCTACAACCTAAGGCTGGTGTACAGAATTGTTCTCATACTCATTTACACTTTTCTGTGCATGCACTTTCATTGGTACCCATGAAATGTGCTTAAACATTTACCAAAGGGAGATACACTCAGTAAATTTATAGAAAAAATCTTGCATGCCAATCTTGAATATTATTCATTAAAGTGATGTCCTCATAGAAAAAAGAATCAGTAACTCCTTTTCTTTGCCTTTAATTGTGTCATGTTTGTCCAATTGTCAACAGGCATGCAGGTTACTGGGTCACATTGCTGGCACTGCGCCGCTAGCGATATCTGCGGACTACGCAGAGAACAACATCAAATCTATAGGTCCTCAAGTAAGTCAACATTGAAGGTCTTACCTACAGTCATTGTGTCAAGGAACTTAGATTAATCTCTGTTTAAACTGTTTTATTCATGGACGTCTTAGTAAACCTAGCCCCCATGCGCCTATGCTGTTATGTTGTGTGTTTTTTGGTCCCGAACCATACCTCCTATGACGTCCACGTTAAGCAAAACTTAATTTTTTCAGATTTGAAGATTTTTTGTTAGGATTTGTCCAGATATCAGGATTTTTTAAAGAATCCCTATTGAAATCTTGAATTCCTGCGGTTTCACCGTAAAGGTGTTTTTACCTATAACAGTTAATATACATGTAGAACAAAAGAAATACAAACATATGTGATGCGATCAAGCCAAATGAGTCGTTTGTCGGATACTTTCATTTTTATATACAGGCCAAAATAGGCCTACTTCATCACATCACTTCATCACATCTCTTGGTGTTCTGGCTTTCATAATTTTTGAAGTAAAGATGGTATCAGCATGCGGTTTTCACAGCAGTAATGCTGAGATTGTGCTCTTTTCAAATCTGTAAAAAAAAATTCACCACATCGACAAACGACTCACTTTAATAGCTTGATCGCATCACATATGCCATAGACCCTACACGTGTGTTGCTTTGGGGCCATCGGCAGCCCCGAAACACCTGTACTGATTAGTTCCTGGATTTTTCATATTTCTCCCAATCTCACCCCTGCATCAGAGATTTTCAATTGATGTACTGTGAATAGTTGTCATTTTGTTTTTGTAGAAATCTCTTTCAATTACAAGAGATAAATCTGTAGCTGGGGACCCATTTAAGCTAACAGTCATCTAAGTACTGTCTGTATACAACGTCTGACAAAGTTTGTCCTTGAAATGATGCTCTTTACCCAAACTCTACCCCAGATTGTTGCCTTGGCAACCACCTTAGCGATTCATCCCAGTAGTAAGATTGCCAAGGAGAGCCTGGAGGTCTTCAGCGACACCTGGGAGAGCCAGGTCAACGACCTGTCGCTGCTGGTCAAGGAAATCAACGACTGCTGTCAGGGAAAAACAAGTAAGGAAGGGGGAAAAATTGATGTGTTGATTGGTATGGATTGTAGAATCCACCTTGAAATGCTTGTCGGGTTGTTTTCTTCGCAGCTGCAATATATTGATTGATTTTTTTGCCTAATTAGTTTGGATGAGCGATTTCTAAAATTATTTAATCATTGAAATGTGTATGAGGTCTTTGTAGAAGTACTCGTCCATGTTTACTTTGTCCTTGAAACTGGATGTCCGAGGTAAAAGTAATTGAATTTGCTTTTGATTTCCTGTCATCACATATTGGTTTTCTTTTTGGTTTAATTATAATTTCATATCTCTGTATTGTATACTGTTATTGTATATTATATACTGTAATTTGCTATCAAATAATTAATTTGATCTTCAAGCAAACTTGAATTCTCGATCTGAATTGGTCAATCCTTGTCAACAACTACATGATATCGTCCCATATAGCACGTCTATAATGCACTCCACGTGCATTGTTCCTGCTGCATGCGGTTGTAATAAGATACCCGCTGAAAAGTTTCTACAGCGTACGTGTTTCGTCTTTACTGTATGTCAAGTTTGCTTGAAGATAAACTCGTTATCCCAATTGCTCATGGAAAACGGAAAAGATAGTGCGTCTGTGTCCCATATACATGTACCTCTCGGCCTACGGTCTCGTGGTATGACAAACTACATTATTCCATGTTCCACTCACGCTTGTGGGATAACTGAAAATTACAAGTAATTTAATGTTGAACAATATAATACTGAAAAATCATTGCAATCATACGTTTGGTACAATTTGAAGTTTGTGGTTTTGTCATTTTGTTTTCAGGTGAAAAGCAAGTGTATTTATCGTTACCAAGGCCAGGGGTGAGTATGTCTCCTCATCATGTCTATCAGTTTGTGCAGCTTTGTTTCTACATCTTGCAGCGCATTGCATAACACAGGCCATACATACATAACGCTATCGCTCAAAACCTGTTGTACAGGTTCGTTTAGTCGTTGCCTTTTAAGCTACATAACATGAAAAGCTACACGGCTGTAGAGATAACTTTACAACCCAGTTTGGTTGTTTCTGAGGACTCGGAACTGCCAGGAAAATCGTGGTGTTCAAAGCCACGTTGCAATCACAAAATGTCCCAAACTACTTCTTAATGCATTGTGAGAGCAATTTCTGCCTCTATTGGTTACAAGTAAAGTGCAATATTCTTCTTATTGGCATGGCTAAGAGGTGGATTATCAAGTCATGAAAGTACACATGGACCGCGAGTGTTCATTTTTTTTTTACATGTAATTTGTATCTGCATCTGTTGAATACTGCATAATATCTTTATTCTTTCTTTATATGCAGCACAGGCGCAAGCTTAATACTAAATGAATTCTTTTTTTGGGGGGAGGGCTTTAAGTAGTTCATACAGCATGTACAAAATCAGATAAAGACAGATATAGAATGAGGATTGATTTTTAGAATAAGGCCCAAAAAAAAAAATATTCGGTCTCTGGTCAGACCAAAGTTCCGGAATTGACGCGGAGACGCGGCTTTTTTTTTTTTTTCTTCAAGCTTGGATTGTACAGACAAGGTGGGGTACTATTTTGCTATTTGGTGTCCTCATGTACATTGGTGTCCTCCATAATTTGCCTTGGTGCTCTCGATCATTTGCCTTGGTGCAATTTTCCCATTCCTTGGTGCTCTTTGGTAAAGAAAATTGAGGAGGTGCGGCGCTGTTGGAGCTACCGCGGAACATTTTGGAAAAAAAAAAGATTGACGTGCATGATTAAAATCGACGTGCGCGCTGACCAGAGACCGACTTATTTTTTTTTTGGCCTAAGATGCACTGTTTTGTTAATTTTTTTTTTTTTTTTTCAAATCAGAATTGTTGCATATTTCAAGTATTTCTTGACAATGAACATTTGGCTGCATTTTCTCATTGGTATTGCAAGAGAGGCAGAATCTTTCAGTTATTTTTTGCTAAATATTTTTTTAATTTTTTTTTATTTTGTTTTCTTTTTTTGCCACTATACGCTTGCAAAACATAAACTACTCATGCAGTATATTCCAGTCAGTGTGAGTATTATTGCATCAAAATGCAGCTTTTTTTTCACTAACCAGGGTGGTGGTCTGGGCTTTCGTTAAACTGTTCACTTTTGTCCGAGGCTTTGTTGCTGACTTTTTTTTTGTATTTCTTAAAATTTCTTCTAGCATTCTTGTGTCTAGTGCTTAATTTGATAGTTCAAATTCTCCACTAACTTCTTGCTCATTACTAACCAACGCTACTTTCTCTTTCTTTGTTTTCTAACTTCAAGAGTCTGTCATGTGACATCTCGAATTTTCTAAAGTTTGCTGTGAATAACTAGATACGTTGCAAAGTCCTGTTATTTTTATCTTTCAATTCTTTCTTTGTAGGCCTAAAACCTTTCCTAAAGGGAAAGAATGGTCATCCAAATTCATTGGAGCAGACCGTTTACTATTACTTTAGCTTCTGTTGAGTGTTCCTTTCATCCACAAGCCTACATTTATAAAAACAAAAAACTTAACGCATTGTCGTCACCGTGCAGACTTACATGCACATGTTTTTTGTATTCTCCCTACATAGAGGCTAATAATGATTTAAACTTCATGTATTTAACCAACATGTGTTAACCACCATGTGACCAACCATTGACCAATCAGTGTCATTGTACTAACCAGTGTGTTTTACTTCATAAAGGTCCCACAAGCATGCAAAAGTTGACATTGATGTTCTCTGAATTTAACTGGAAAACTGGTTCTTGTTAAATACTGTGATCCCTCCTCATGTCATGTTGGAAGAGTTACCCGTTGCTTACTGCTCAGAAAAGAAATACCAGTCAAATATTGCATTGGCTTGGGGTCATATATGTAACTGCATGGACGCATGGGTTTGGTTGTGTCAGTAGGTCTTTTCACGTTATCATCTGGCTTCCCCCTTTGAAATCAAAACGGCTCCACCGTGAGCAAAACCGGGTCCATTTAAGCACTGGGCCCAAATTCACGACACTGCTAAGCACAAAAATTTGCTTAGCACAAAAAAAGTCTGGCTTATAAAAGCAGGTTATCAACCAAAGCTCCATGTGATTTTCATGCTAAGCAAACAACAGCTGAATACTAATCACGAGCAATATAAATCACGAGGAGTTTTGGCTGGTAACCTGCTTTTATAAGCCAGACTTTGTTTGTGCTAAGCAAATTGTTGTGCTTAGCAGCGCCGTGAAATTGGCCCCAGGTTAGCAAGGAGCACAGTTCCCACTTGTACTGGTGTGCACGTGGGTCAGGTGTACAGTTTAATTTTCTACCTGGGTAGAGCCAGTCAACCCTGGTCAGGAGTCTAACTGTAGAGTGCTGGACCTGTGTAGAAGCCGTGTTGGATTCTTACCAGTGTGAAAGGGGTTCCCAAAATCTCGTAGTTCGACATGGGTCCAACAAGGAAAAGTTTGATAGCTTTTGAGGAAAGAGTGTTGTATCCTGGCGCCACTTTGTTTGGTTGTGCTCAAAGTCTATGGAGAGTCAAGAAGAATTTCAAAGTATTTTTTAACAAAATTGGGACTATTTCTCAGTCCCAGATTCATGTCTTTTTAACATGTTTGCCTTTTGACTGACCTTCATTGAGATGGTACATGATGAAAAAAAATGGCGTCAGGATGCAACATTCTCTCCACTATTGATTCACTCCTAAGTTTTAATATTGCGTACGTGTAGGTTTTGCCTTTTGCCAACATTACGTTACATGTACATGTAGGAAGTGTGTACGCTCAGGCTTGTCCTTGAACTTTCAAAAAAACTTAACAAGCTCACACGGGAGGGAGTCTAACCCTGATGTGTCCTATTACAACATCAGGAAGGGGCAAAACCCAGTTCGGCTGTAAAATAATCCAATCAGTATCGTTGATAAATACATATTTTGTTGTGATAAAGGAACGTTGGTAAAGAAAAGTATTTTTGAAGCTGTTGACCGAACACTTCAAAACGTGGGGAAAATATAATTGTTTGAAAAAGTGTGACATTATGATATGCTCATTTCAGCCTGTTATTGAGATGTTACAGCTGACATATGCATTGTGTTTGACAATTAGTACCTATTCATGGTGAAATACCTTGTCTTAATTTACTGGGGAGGATTTTTGAGTCGTAAAGGTTTGATTTCATGTTGCCTGAACTATTTGAAACGAAACACATCTGGGAATTGTCTCGAAATTAAAAATACTTTGAAAGTTTCTTTGGGAGCGGCACCTGTTTAAACACTCCTTTTTGTAATCACGTGACCTTCGTGCATGGGTGAACATGTACAGTACATATATGCACAAAAATATTGTTGACGTCTGGGGGATTTTGTGCAGTGAATCAAACTGTGCTGTTAAGATTCACCTTCAAACTGAAAGTGTTAATGGTCATTTTCTGTGCCATTTTCAAAGGGCAACAATCTCCTTATCCCCTGAAATTAGAAAATGACTATACATTTGTCTCAAGCGCCTGTACAGTACCAGGTACATGTATCTATTTGGTTGTCCCTCCCGTTTAAGAAAAAAAATTGAAATAAATAATAAATATCCACCTTTATTAATATATAAGAAATTAAGTTATTTATCTGTACTTCTTAGAGTACAAGGCCTTTTCATTTTGCATATGACATGTATTGTGCATCCATTTAACATCTGAAATTAATTAATGCGGGACCGCATATCCTTATGGTCTACACACTCTGCTTTATGTGTGTCAATGCATCCATTGCAGCAGAGGTCGTAAACACAGAATAATTCATACTGGGTTGTTTTATAATTCATGAAGGTTAACACTCGCGAATTCGTCACCGATACGCCACATCATTTATTCAAACACCAGTCGAGGAAAAAGCATGTGGAGATACAGCACAATTCAAACCAGAGTGACTGATTAATTTTCCTTGGCTGTACCTTCTGTGGGATGTGTTCTGGGTGTATTTGATCCGTGCATGGAGTATAGAGGGAGCCGTAGCTTATTAATCTGTAGAGGCAATTCGGGCGATTCACAATGCAGTGTGCCACCAAGAGTTTGCCGTGGAAAGTCCATTTTTCAAGTTTACGGTGGACAAAACATGGCCCATTTGAACGAGTGTCAGTAGACAACTTGAGCTAATTTGTTCTAGATTGGGGCATAGCGTTCTGCCGCCTTACAACACCATATTGATAAAAAGAAAAGAAAAGGGCAAACAGATACTCAAATCATACCCTTACGAAACTACTGACTGGAAAAACAAACAATTTCAAATGTCCCGCGCTGCAAATTTGTCGGCCATCTCCCACAATTCACTGGGAAAAATGAACTCTCCGTGGCAAACTCTTGGTGGCGCACTGCATTGTGAATCGCCCGAATTGGATGACCCTTTCGTTGCAGTGGTCCACGTGTGTTGATTGTTTGTTGATATTAGGGAATGAGTGTTGTACCAGGGAGGGTTGAGACTAACATTTAGAATGAAGTGAGAGCTCTTATTTTGTTCAGTCAATTTCACCACTGTCACTTGAGTGATAAAGCCAATCACAAATAGTTCACAAGTCAAGTTACGAGTCAAGGCAAAGTCAGGCCAGAAGTTGAGGAAGGGATGCCATTTAAAAAAAAAAATGTTTTTGCTATTGCCAGCATGGGTTTGGTTCTTGGTTCTTGGTTGGTTCTTCTCCTAAATACTCCAAGTGGGAATTTATACAGGAGGCCAGAAACACCGGGGTAAACCCCTTCTCTTAGTGATAAGTGTTTACTGGGTTCTTTTATGTGCATTTATGCAACACACGGGACCTACGGCTTAACGTCCCATCCGAAGGACGAAGCAATAATGGTTAAGTGCCTTGCTTAAAGGCACAAGTCTCCACCCAGCGGGCTTGAACCCACGCCACTGTTGCCTCTGAAACACCAGAACGTGAGTCCGATGCTCTTAACCGCTAGGCCATGACACTCCAAGGTTTCTTCATAGACTCACCACAATCACATTGTACTGCAAATGATCGTTTAAACGCCAAGTGTACTGGTGTTCGAGTCTCGTATCATTGTCAACATACACAACATCTGTGGTATTGCGACGTGAGAACATGTATGTATGGTGTATTGTGATCGTTGCAAATTGTTTCGGCGCTGGAGCAAAAACCCACTGGCATCCCTGTTTTTATGAATAGGGAATGGATACTCACAAAAAACTGCCTTTCTGTCACAGCATTTTGCGTATATGTACGGTAGTTTGTGACATGACGTGGGACAAGATTGTTTATGATGGGTCAGTGACAGTGAGAAGACCCTTCAGTCACAGTCTATGAGATGCTTGTGACATGACTGTGTCTTAGATGACTTGTGATTGACTAGTGATCTGCCTTGCGATGATCTACATGTGTAATGACTGGATTATAACTGTACCACACATTAACATTTGAGAGTGAGAGTCAATGCATACACATACATGTACATTGAAGTGTGTATTTGCCTGCAAACGGGGACCCCCTATTGTCCCTCTTTTGTTTGTACTTTTTAGGAAGACCTCCCATATGTTTTGTACACAAATCCAAATAGGGGACCTCTCAGGGATTGGGGACCCTATTGTCCTCTATTGTTCAACGTCCCCTATTGAATGCAGAAACAAACTCAGACATTCTTGTTCCATAACTGTGGGGACTTTGGTACTATGGGGACCAAAGATGCTATGGGGACGGCAGAGAGTTCCCACAACTCGGTCCTAACTACCCTAACAATGAAAAACTTCCCAATAACGTGGTGACTGTCCGCCTACACATTTATGTGTGCCAGAGAATTACTGCCCTAAGTTAAGGCGGGTTCATACATCACGCAAATGGGAACATAAAGTCGTTGTGAAATTCGCTGTACTTGAAATGTGTTTCACTTTTGCAAATTGGCAGTGCGAGTACGTGCCCTCACGAAACAAATTCCCGCTCGCATTTGCTTTTGCGGTGAATATAAAACAGGCTTTACGGTAATAAGTAATTTTTGTGTCAGCATCCTCTAATCCATTTATGAACAAGTATAGTTTTGGATGCTACAGGCTAGCTGAGTGGGAGATTGTTTAATAACCAATGCATTCAAAATATGATAGACACATTTCTGTAATTTCATGTTTATTGTCTTATCTGTCCTTCACTGTTTTCACCTAAAATTCTAATTGCCTGTATTACCTTATCGTCCTCTGCTTAAAACTGTTCTTATCCCCTGGTATTTCAGCCTTCTTTCTGTCAGATCCAAAATTCAATAAGTTTATGAAGATATTTTACCACTAACTTTTTAATTAAAGGTAATCCAATTTTTATCTGTTCCATATCTCAGAAACATGGCTCCACACCAAAAAGCATCAAACCAGCCAAGCTTGATGCAGAGGTAAGTGGGTACCAGACTGCAGGCTCTCTAGGATAAATATTTAGCTGGTCTTCATTGTTTTTCCTCTTTTTTTTTCAATTAAAAAAAAAGTACTTAAAGTCTCCCCATGTTATTTACAACTTTCACACAATTTTTTTTTTTTCATTGCTATTTTCTACTAACACAAGTTATTCAATGTATTCTCATTGACCTCAATGCTCACACACCGACTTTCTACTTATATAACTGAAAATTTCCAAAACATCTATAAATTACACATGCATCAGTTGCATTTTGGCAGGGAGCAACTCTTATTACATATGTGCTTGCTAGAGCGAGTAAAACCCATTTAAAATATGGTAATTTTTATCACTCTGTGATAATGGAGACGATCTTCACTATATGGAAAGGCCATTAATTATCGACTGCTACTCTCCGATGTTTGCATTTTCATTTCATTAAACTGATATCAAACAGTTGCAGCAGTTGTGGACATCATGGAAAGAAATTTGAAAACATCTCTCTTTTTTGAGTTGTAAGGAGAAGGATTGTTGGCGCATGTGGTGTGTCCCTCTCAGTGGGGCTCGCAAAAGTGGTCACCCTGCTTATGCACGGAGCCCATATATTGTTTCTACGGTTTGTACATTTTACAAGTACATGTGTCTTGTCTTGTTACTTACAGGAGCAAGCCAAGATTGCCAAGCTGGGTCTAGAGATGAAGCTGATGACGTCGGAGCTGGATGCTGAGACGGACAAATGGGGCGATCAAGACAACGACATCTTCAAGCGGGCTAAGAACATGTCTAGTATGGCGTACTCCATGTACCTCTTCACAAGGGGGGAAGGCATGCTGAAAACCACCCAGGATCTCTTCAAACAGGCTGAGGTAACCATATCACTGCTATATAGTTAGTTTATTTCGCTGAGCCATTATGAGGTTTTCGGCAAAAACACTGGGTTGATCTGTGAGCTAAGGTAAAAATGAGTGTATGTTTTTCTTGAATTCCCCATCGTCAAAAGTCTGCATTTGAAAAAAAAACCGATAAATTCCAGATTTTCCGTATTCCTCAAGTGTGGACTAGAGTTTTACTTTATGTACTTTCAACATGATTTTGGACTAAATTTCACACACTGCTTACATGTACTTTCGATTCGAATTGATGTTTTAAGACAGTTATCGTTTTCATTTGAACATGCTACAAAATTGGGAAAAGTTGATAATATTTCAACTCTGGTGACTCGCTCCTCAGGAGGTTTTTCGTGATGTCAGTTTATGAGTGCAATGGTAAGAATAATCCATCTGTTACCGAATAAAATGATTCTTTCCATTGCACACAACTTTGAAATATTCATTATTTGTTTTGTACAACGCTGAATAACTCCTCGTTATCTGATCGGTAACTAGTGTGACCGTGCAGTGAAATTTCTATTAACCGTGGAGTGGAAGTTTAGTTTTGCGGTGCGGCTGGCGATGGGTTGGGATGAATAATTCAATGACACATGATCAACAACCAACCAATCAGATAACGGGAATTTATTCAGGTGTTGTATAATAGGTAATGTTGATGTTTGAGACTTTTCTCGCATTTCCCGCCCAGTTATTGGATTGGGATATTTAGTTCACAAACAGTATCAGTGGTAGCCTTGTTGGCGATGTTATTCAATACTGGGTTCTGCCATTCACTGATATAATCTATAAACACTCTATACTCATCATTGTCTGGGGGCTTTCAAGACAAAATGTACAAGCTACTCAGGTGGGACTCGAACCCACGACCTCCCTCCCACCAGTCCAGACGTCTTACCACTCGACCACCAAACTTGCCATGGTTGGCTGGCTGTTGTTAATCTGATATAGCACGGGTACCGCAACCAATCACTGTAAAGAATTTCATTGACAATATTATACCTGGCCAGACAACTTATTTTTGTGTGGTTTTTGTCCCTCTTTTGTACCCTCAGTATTTTGGTGAGGAAGGCAACAAGCTATTCCGTTCCCTCAAGCAGTTTGCTGCTCAAGTGCCTGAGTGTTCCTTGCGGACTGAGCTGTCATCGCTTATAGATCAGATTCCATCTTACTGTCAGCAGCTACTCTTCATTACTAAGTCACCTACGATGGGCAAGGTGGCCACATTCAATAAGGTAAATACACCAGGCATAAAGGTCGTCAAGTCAATCACAAATCAACCACAAGTCTATCGCAAGTCAATCACAAGTCAACTAGGGGTAAATAAAGAGTAATTACACGAGAATCACAAGTCAATCATGAGTGAATCTCAAGTCAGTCTTAAGTCTATCGCAAGTCAATCACAAGTCAACCAAGAATTAATCACAGGTCAATCACATGACAATCACAAGTGAGCCAGTCGTCAATACCAAGTCAGTTAGGGACCGTGACCATTCAGCCCTGGTATGAAAAGGGCCCCCCGGTACCTCGTCCGGTCCAGAGCCAGTCCGGTCTTCAGCCCAGTCTCGTCCGGTACATGGTCCTGTCTGACCAGAAGTTTTGAAGTCAGTCAGGCGCATCAATTTATTGCCCTTCAGAGAACGTCCAGAGCAGAACAATAGCAGATTTACCGGATTAAAGATAAAATCCTTCCAAACGCCTTTTTAATTTACGGTCCCATTGTGCGCGAAACCGCATGGCAGGGGTTTTGATCTGTGCCGACGGAAGTGTTCTATTGTTTTGCGCTGAGAGATGAAAACCACAAGCAGGTTTCTTCTGGGATATATTACAGGTGTCAATACTTGCAAACAATAAACACCAGGATAGAAGAGTTCCTGATTAGCAACCGGACCAGCTCCTGGGCCGGTAGCTGGGACGGTACGAAAGGACTTCTTGGGAGGGGACGAGCTTACCGGGGGGCCCTTTTCATACCGGGCTGAATGGTCAAGGTCCCTTACAAGTCAATCAAAAGTCAATCACAAGTTAATCACAAGTCAATCACAAGTCAATCACAAGTCAATCACAAGTTAATCACAAGTCAACCAAGTATCAATACCAAAGCAATCACACGTCTTCACTAGTCAATCACAACACATACGAGTCAATCACAACTTCAACTACAAATCACTCAGAGAGCGCAAACCTCCGCCAAGGCTAAACAATTCCCCGCCATATTGTCAGTACACCCAAATAAAATACTCGCATGGTGAAGAATCCTTTAAAAAAATCCTGGATCCAGACCCAGATCCGTATCACTTCCAAAATCTAATCGATTTGTACTTGCAGCAAGGACCACCCCTGAAAAAAAATTTCAAATAAGATTTTGAGTTATCTTATTAACAGACAAACCAACCAACCAACTAACCAAATCTAATGAAAACATAACTGCCTCAGTGGAGGTAATAACAAATCAATCACACGTTCTCCAGTCGCAACTCAAGTGATTAACTTTTGGAAATAAGGTGTAACATACATACATTGGTCGTCTCTTTCCTTGAGACCTTGTGATTTGACTTAGGATAGACTTGCAATTTGATTTATGATATGTCTAGCTGTCCATCATTTGTAATTTGTGAATTTTTTTCGTTTGAAGCAACAAAAGTGCTCAAAATTTAAAGAAGGGTGCTGAACAACTAACCTGATGAAGTTTCAGCTCAGCTTCAGCTGTATATTTCAAGAAAAACAACATTCTAGGATCTCGATTTCAAATAAAAAGTTGCTGAATCATGTTTTGAATTGGGCCTGAATTCAGCGTCCGAGACATGTTCTCACTGAGCCAACTGCAGCTACGCGATGTCGCGCACTGATCCGACGAATTGTAGCAACCATGCGTGCGTGTGCGTCGTGTCACCGCTTGCGCGCTTCGCCGAATAACAAAACAAACTACTAATTTAAATTTCCTACGGTGCTTCTTTGGAAAGGCCTTCTTTTGTTGATCATTCGTCAAAATGACAGCTTTCCAGAAAGAATAATTTCACAGGGAGTTTAGTTCCCTTACTATCTTTCAACCAAGTATGTTTTTCAACAATAATTACGCCAGTTACTTTTTGGATAGCTGCAAATGATGGACTCTGGCTTTAACTTTAACCCTGCTACAACGTGATTATAAGGGTAGAAAGGAATCTGTGCTTCAGTGTTTACTTGTTATCGTTAAAGCCTTGTTTGTTTTTGTTTGTTTTTTACTACAACAGGTGGACAACACAATACAAGAAACACAGAACCTTTTATCAACAATTAGTAGAATAGTGCCGCTGAGCTACACGCTGGCAGCGAAGGTAAGCCTTTAACATAGAATCCTTTAATTTACGGACAGAATGCTGTCGGTTTGGCAAAAAAGCAAAGACATTGATGGAAATCCTTATGGTTGATTTCTCTCTCGTTACACCTTGCTGAAATGACAGCTCCTTTTTTTCCCCAGACATATTTGACATGACCTTATCCCCAGTACTTGACCTGCCTAGTCCATGGTCCGTTAGTTCATACATGTAGGTCATATTCAGATGTTTGAATCCAAGGCAGCAACCAGTCTGAAGAAGTGAGTCTGGTACCTTACCTCCCCCAGTCCCTTTTCCTTACCCATTCTTCAATTCTGTTTCTGCCTCTTTAACATTCTTTCACTCGTGTTTATCTTTGTCCGAATTTGCTGTCCTCGTTTTCATCTTTTTTTCTCTCTCTCTTTTGGAGAACTTTTCCCTAGCTATATCGCAAATTGCATGTTGCAAATTCACTGACTTATCATGTTTGTGTGCTTGTGTGTTTTTGTCAACCATTCCATTTTGAATCAGTAGTTTTCTGGTTTTCTCAGTTCCCATAATTTCTCATTTTTCAAGCTTGATCTCATTCATGCTGTGGGGTGCCATTCGAATGAAGCATGCACACTATTGATTTTGTCTGTGTCTGTATTCTATTATTTTTTGGCTAGTCTGGTTCCCTGTCTTCCTAACTGTACAGCCCAACATTGCCCATGTCCTCTTGCATTAACTTGCAATCTACAAGTTGTCTGTATGCCTGTAAGTTAATGGTCTCTGTTGTTCCCTATACTGCAATCATTTTATCTACTCTTCGTTACCACTTTCTTCTTCGTACAAATGTAGGATGAGGAAAGCGACACAGAAGAGTAATTGAAAAAATAAGGGATGGTAGCCCTCCCGTTTCTTTTGTGACGTGTTGTTGTAAAGTCCCTGCCTTGCCACACCCCTACCAGGCTCATCATCATTCTCTTCAGCTCATCTCTCAGACCTTGAACTATTTCTTAATCTTTCTTTTTAATCTTAACCCATGACACCTGTATTTACTTATTTTCCTCTTGGGCATAGCATGCTGATTTTAAAGATTTGTTTGTTTTTGAGCTAACAAACTTTGGAAGCTCTTAAGGCCCATTTATACTCGGTGCGAACGCAAACGTGACTTTGTGACATAACAGCAAATATTCACGCTGCAAATTCGCAGAAGTTGAACTCATTTCAACTCGGGTAAATTCCACAGCAAATCTTTCATCCAATTTACTCTGCAGTCAGTAGTGTGCGAGGGGTTCCCGACATTCCTGTTTTGAACCCGGGTCCAACGCAGAGATTTGGGATAATGAAAGAATTGCTGTGCTGTACTCCTCTTGCATTTCTTAACCTGTACCTGCTTTCCTAGATGTTAACGCTGTCTTGTGTATTCCTCCATCATTTTTCCGCTTGCATTCTGCCATCAGTTGTACGCCCTTCTATTTGTCAATCTGTCTCTCTCAAGAACTTTTGTATGCATTGCAGTTGCAAAACACACTAAAGGGCTTTTCACAATACCCAAAATCTCCGTGTTGGACCAGAGTCCAGTACGGAGAGTTTGGGAACCCCTCTTACACTAGCAAGAAGCCATGTCCGAGGCCAAGGCAACGGCCAGAGATAACACATGCACCTATGGAAGCCACTGGCTAGTGGCTGCAGCCATTTCCCATAGACTCATGTGTTATTGTCGGCTGTAGCCAGTGATTCGGACACGGCCCAACTCTGCTTCTACATGGGTCCGGTGCTCTACACGGGGAGGCTCTTCCTGGGTAGAAAATCCAAACTATACAGCTGACCCGTGTAGACACTGGTGTAAGTGGGATTGGTCTCCCTTGCTTACCCATTTCTGATGGGTCCCGGTTCTGCTTACTGTGGACCCTTGTGAATTTCCAAAAAGTAGGCTAGACGATTGTATAAACAGGGCATATTGGGCAGAGTATGCTCAGTTTTGGAGTACAAAAAAATTCAGTTCATATCTATGATTCAGGGTTATAGCCTGATTAATTTGCAAACAATTTTCAGTCAAGAATTTGTATGCATAACGTTACCGTCTCCTTGGTTAACAAAAATAAAGTAAAACACCAGACAAAATCAAGGATTTCCCTCTTCTAATCTGTGCATGATGTATCCTATCCGGCTGTCTTTCAGCAAAAGTATGTCATTAATTGCCAAACACCTGTCTCCCCTAATTCATTCATCTTTTTTTATGGTACTTGCTCATTTCACTCTTTGTCCTCTTGTCTAGTTTATTTTAATCAATTCATCCTAATCTCTTTCATCCCCCATTTCTCCTTCCAACTCTCCCCCATCCCCACAAATAAAAAACTCTCACTCTCTCTTGACAACCCTTCTCAAAACTCTAACCTCGGGAAGACCCCAACTCCACCACCGACCTCCAACTCTTTTGATCCCTGGTGTTCCAAACCCCTTCACGGTCAGCCGAAACCCGCGCCGCCGACACCCTCCGGCCTTCAAAACGAGGACAGGGGCGACCACAAAACGGATGCCTACAACGCGGCGTACAGTGTCAAGTGAGGTTGGTTCTCGCAAGTCGCTTGTCATCCTCACACACAAATCACACCAGTAATCAGTTGTAGCCGTAGAAGGCGTTTTTTTTTTTTTTTTTTGATTACTTTTCTCTTCTCAAGTTATTTCGTTCACGCTCTAGATTTAGAGCAAATTTCTTTTGCCTTTTCTTTTTCTTTTGGTCTTTTGATTTCCTGTCTTTATTTCTTTGTTTTTTTACAGGGATGATACTTTTTCCGATTCTTGATGACAAATAATTCCATACTTTTATCACTCTCTTGATTTAAGAAAATTAGAGTGCCTAACATTTCAATACTGGCAGGAACTTTGTCAAACCAAAACAACTTATTTATCCATATTCTTTCTCTTAATCTGTGAGATGCTAGAATTACTCTTGGCAGACATTGTGTATTTTTCCCCCCAATATTTTTAAAACCTGTTAAAGAGAAAAAAAACTGAAACCATTGCAGATTTACTGTAACTTCATGTAATAAGTAAGGAAAAGTTTGTGGGTTAGGAAAAGTTTTCTGATTACGAAAGGAGATATTTGAAATGCAATGGTTGAATGGGTGAGAACATTCTGCAAAACATTTTTTTGTAATTTTCTGTTGTGATCTTAAGACTAAATTAAATAAGTTTTTTTATATTTTTTTAATTAGGGTTTTACTGGAGTATCATCCCTGATTTGAATACGTAACAAAAGTGTTGCTTTCCTTTGAGCACAGAAATATTGCCTGAACATGTACTTCAAATATTTTGTGTTAAAATTCACACTTTTCTTTTACACGATTTCATTTTTCTGTTTTTTTAATATGCTACTCTGTTTCAGCCAGAGTTTTCTATTGTAGAGCAAGATTATGTCCCCAGAAGGGGAAATTAAAAGTATAGCTGCTTCTTTTCTATTCTGAATTTTTTTTCAGATGTTATTTTACTTTCATTGATAGACGTGGTGTGGTCCAAAAAAATTCTCTTTGAGTGGCATCTACTCTTAAATATAAATCATTGAAAAGTTGTTATTTTCAATTTATTTTAGCTGTGTTGAATGATATACAGACAAGATATTTCGATTTCTTTCTGTTAACCATTACCCTCCAGGGTATTTTGGCTAGAAACCCTGCCAAACACAGCAACATACAACACTTGTCTAAGTGGCAAGCTTACTCAGTGCACAAATGGTGCAGAATATTCATCAGGCCAAAAGTCTCAAGGCCAGGATTAGCTCTGCACTGCTGTTGATAGCTGAATACATCAAAGTGCACCAGACTTTTCCACCTGATGCACTGTGTTGCGTCTGGCTGAAATCCTACCTTATTTCCAGATTAAATCGCAATGACTCTCCTGTACATGTTACAGGTAGGGTGCCCCCTAGGTTAAGATAATTACTTTTGCAACTTAAGTTTGGAAAAGATGTTGTGTAATGGATACAATTACAACAGGAGATTTGCAGAGACAAAATTGTAGAAGTCTTTACAAAAATACCACTCTCATTTTTCCTAGTAATTTCAGAGTGACCGAAATATGCACTGACCTGTACGATGTGTTCCGTATTTCATTAAAATTCTAAAAATATCTTTCTCTGGACTCTGTCCCTTACAAAGCATTGTGTTGTTCAACTTTAAGGGGAAGATACAACATTTGCAAACATCTAAAAACAAAATGATCAAATTATCACGAAATATCTTACTGGATTGTTAGGGAGTGACAGTCTAAAGCACCCTGTAAAATTGTGGCTCCTGGTGTGCTGACATTTTTAAGAAAAATTGTGTTTTTCCAACACTGGTCGGTCGACTAGCATTGGAGAAAATTGACGTTTTTCAAAAAATGCTCTTAATTTTTCATTATTATTTCCGCATTTTCTTTGCAATCGATTACACACTTGTGAAGGGGTACAAGCCTGCCGGACTGATTCTCTGGCCTTACAATTCCCCAAAGTCGACAAACTGCTCCGTTTCATCTTAAGTCGGGTCAGGGAACCAGACTTAAAGAACGTGATGTTTTTCCTGGTTTTTCCAGCATCTTTAAGCCCAAAACGTGAAACAAGTCAGTTTAACAATGTTTGCTGTAATATTCTACTCCCCCAAATCCATTTACGACTGAAAATTGCAGCACGAGCAAATGTTGTACATTCCCTTTAATATTTTCTTTGAACAAAATTCTAGTATTGTGCATTTATCATATGTACATGTATATGTGTCTGAACATGTACGTGTACAATATATCCTTCTGGGTCATTCTATAAATTTGGGGTCCACTTTTTTCCCCTCCCTGTTACATCTGACATCTATGATTGTATAATTCTGATGCACTCCTTAATGCAGTCATCCTCCAAGAGTGATTATGAATAGCAAACTACCTACCCAACAAATAAACAATCATTTGAAGTCATTCTTAATGATGCTTGAATGGCAAATTACAAAGTACCAAGGTAACAGGGACGGGAAAAATGTCACACTTTGGACCCCAAATTTATAGAATGACCCTTCTTTTAAAATGGAAACATCTGTTGGTCCCAGAATGCCAGCCTAGTGTGTACTTTGCACCTATCTCAGTGACCGACTGACTGACTGACTGACTGACTCACCTGTGACTTACATGTAGTCTTACAGAGCCGGGCAGTGCTATTGTATGGGATTACCCAACACACCAATGAATGAGATAAACCCTGCAAACTGTGTAGAACACATGCATGAAGAGAATTCCAGTGAATAGCCCTTCTGAATCAATTGAGGAGAATCTTGTGCGCTCTGAGACCAGCTTTATTAGGCTTGCCTCACATTGTTTATGTCGTCATTATCTAAATTACATGTCATTGTCCATTGTAAAAGGGATGCAGCGAGTTTGGAAGGCTTGTTACGAGTCTACATACTCAAGGCCTTTCTGCCTGCCACCACGATCATGGAAAACGTAAAGGAAATTCAATCTTAATTGTTGTAAACTAATAAGAAAGATGCAAAGAATTCAGTTACCTGTGGTCCACAGATACCGTCGAATCTTCATATTTTCACCAAATGCACAATTACCAACAAACTTCAGACTAATACCTTTTCAAATGTAATCGTTTTTCTTTCTTTATCAAAATTTGTTAAAAATTTCACACCAAGTTGTATTTCATCTCTGAAATGTTTTATATGAATTTTTCACCTGCAGCACATTTTCATTTTATTACTAACTGTCATGATATTTTTTTGAGACTTTGTCAATTCTTTGTTGTGAATATATTTACTTTTTTACTTTTTTTTAAATTCTTTTAACTCACAGCACACTTTTTATGTTTTGAATTTTTGTCCTCTTCATAAAAGTATGACCCCACCCCGTAATTTACAGACTGTTTTCAAAAGAAAACTGGTGATTTTTTAAAATAAATGGTTTGAAGCTGTTGTGGCTTTCAACAGTGATACCTCTATGCTTTAGCAGAAGTGTCCGTATTTTCCTAAAGCCCTACATTTTCTGCATCTCCTGAGATAAGAAATTCAAGTTGACTTGTGGATTACCAAATACTTGCGTATCTAAAATATGATGACATCTATGCGTTTCCGGAAGTGTACTTCTCAATGTGCTAATGCATTAGTTTTTGCAGTTAAACTTCAGGTATTTTACAGTTGTAAATAACAGACACAACTGATAAGCACTTTAAGAGGAATCTTTCCAAATAGAAATGAATGCTTCAAGAAGTAAGACTTTTAGAATGTGTTCAGATTTCTCTTTGAACATGATTGTAAATTGCAATGGTAAAAAAATCAACAGTTGGATAACAATGGGGAATGTTTTTGTCACAGTTTACAAGGTCTATTGTTTTCCCTCTGTCTTCAGTTCCAGATCCTATCACCAGTATCACCGGTCCATCGGTGGCGAACAGCGCCCCCTACCATGGACTATCGGTACAACAGTTACGAGGACAGCGACTCCATTGCCAGCTCCAGCAGCAGCCGATCAGACCGCTCCCCGCTACGCGGAAGCACGGAAAAAATCCTCTATTGACCGGCAACACCCGGAAGTTCCGGGATAAAAATCCTAAACGCTCTCCGTATGAAAGACTTCCAGAATTACATGTTTGCCTGGACTCTGGGCTTGATCCTGTATGGAAACCAAGGCCATAGAGTGAGTGATTCCTGCAGGAAAATCCCATGTTATTCCATGTCAATCCATGTGGAATGACTTGCACGTACCATGGCATGATTCCAGTGTGGAAAAATTCCAACTTTTCTGGAGAGAATTTCCAGCGTCCAGCTCGAAGTACTCTGTGTACCATTGAAGTACTTCAATGTGCAAGCCCTTACAACATAAACTGAGCATCAGCCGTACGTGGGATCACTTTGGAGATATGAATATATCATTGCTTAATTGTATCATTATTTAAAATATACTAAAAAATATATAAAAACACTATTGCAAAGCAAGAAATGACTTGAGAAAAAAAACCCCAGCATTTCAATTTTGTTATTTAGTAACTCTACGATTGTGCTAAAGAATATGTATCCCCCGAAACAAGCCCCTTAGGATTAAAGGGACATTACGAGCTGGAATGCGCCCAATTGGGCTACAGAACGTGTTTTAAATGAAATGATATTAAACGGAAAGAGCATTTAAAATTAGTATATGAATGTCCACACAACTAGCCTTTAAAAACTGGGTGTTTTTGTGTTATTGTTGCGAGAACCATGCGAGAACGAATTTTGGGGGTCAAAATTTTGTCCCCGAAAAATCGAACTGTTGATGCTAGTTGTGAATCCTGCCTCACAGTGAATTGAATTCTGTGGACGTGTAAGAAACAACATCTGTGTATTGGTGCTGTGTGTATTATGAATCACACACACAACGTGTTCGATGCATTGAATAGACAAGACTTGAAATGCGAATATGTAGGCCGTCGCGTTCAATGTAAACAACCACGTTTTTTGGTCTTTCCTCAAGAACGTTAAGACATTAGGTTTGTTTCCTTTCAACCAGACCTTGAGAATAGTATAAGTAAACAATCCAAAACATGTTATTGTTGGGGATTTCAGGCCGTAATATCCCTTTAAGAACCAAATAATCGAAGAGTGCTTCATATGGAATAATCTAAAACTAATCTATACAGAGTAATTTGTGGCTTTTGTTTCTCCGGAAAAAAACCTAAGCTTGGCTTGTGCCCACACAAAGGATTTGTGCTCAGAGGCATTGCAAGTAAAAAAAACAACCAAAACTATGTTTTTTTTAAATAGCTTTTGGGTTGATAAGCTCAAGTTCTTAAAGTTTTACATATTCCTTCCCAATTTTTACCCCTTTTCTTGGTGGGGGGGGGGGGAGAGGGTGGCTGCCATTTGCTTGTAACCTTTATGAAGATAACTGGAAAGTCATATTTTAACAACAAAACGGGGAAAAAAAACATTACTTTTGAAAAAGTAATAAATGATGATGAATGTTTGTTACCTCTGTACTGTAAGTAAACAATTCCTAAATTTACATGACAGCACAAGTATTTCGTACATGTTAATGTTCCGACATGAACTGTGTGCTGAGTCAATGTAAGAAATGACTGATTTTCAGTACGTGAGGAGAAAAAAGAAAAGTACAAAATTGATGGTGCTAATTTATTCTGTTAAATGTTTACAAAGTTTAATTGTTCTCACTGACTTGTATTAATGTGCGTGATTGGAACGGCACTTTTCTGTAACATGTTTGTACTGTGGAGTTACAGTGTCGGGATAAACAAATGATTTTTTTTTTTTCTGTGAAAACGGAATTGTGTTGGTTGTCACCAAAGTTGGATGTTGAACCATTGGAAACTTTCTGTTTTATTATTGTTAATTAAAAACTTGAACATTTTTGATGACATCTGACAAAACTTAAACAGGCTTTTGAAGACTTGTGTGGTTGGATTTAGTTACAAGCTCTCTTGTGTTGGCCAGCTTTTCTTGCTCGGTTATCATAAACAAAAAGAGGGCAGTGTTGGGTTGGTTGACAATTTGTCTGGTGATAAACTCTGGGGAAGCTTAGAAATCCTCAAAAAAAAAGATTAGCAAAAGACGGATCTATGAAACCTGCACTATGGCAACAACACGTGTGCCTCTCCAACTGCATATGTCATGTGTGCGGCATTCTAGCAAAATGAGACCGAACTTGGCAGAGGTCCCAATGAGGGTTCGCGGGTATTAGGAAATAATAATCCTTGCAATACTGTTGGTTGCACTTTATTCGGACATTCTGTTGAAAAGTTATGGCTGTTTAAAGTTCCATTGATCAACAAAAAAAGTAAAACACTAAGAAAAAGTCCTCTAAAAGTTTCAACTGTTTTGTAGTTGTGAAAATGAAAGATGCCAGTTGTTTTTTTCTTAAAAACACTTTTATTCCATGCTTTTTATACTGTTTCTTAAAAATATGTGTAGCCATATCAAAGATTACAGATATCAACAAATCTGAAAGAAAAATTTTGAAAATGCCCCCATTGGTTTTTTTTTTTCTTCATTTTCCTCCACTACAGCATGTGCCTAGTTCTGTCTCATTTAAACAGAATGCCTCACATAAAAGTACTTGCACGAATGCCAGACTTTTGTCAGACATTCAGTTGTGCAGTCTGCTGTGATACGTAAAAGCATGGGACGCGATACATGGATCTGCTGCTTGTGTCATATGAATTGTACGTAAATGTGTAGTATCGTCAGAAATTGGACATGATTTGTCGTCTTTGTTCTTCCAAACTGAAAGTGCCCCTGTAACCCACAGCTTACATATTTGATGACAAGATAATGGTCACAACAGTCATCTTGAGATGGCTTTGAATTTTTTTTGGGGGGGGGGGAGGGAAATTAATACTTATTGCACTGTTATTGAAAGTGGAAAAAACTTGCCTCCAATCATCGTAAAACTTAGTGTACACTAATAGAATTTATTTTTTTGTACCATTGTGAAAAGTGGACGCATTTAGCTTGGACTCTTCAGAAATTTTAGAAATGAAAAGTAGCAAGTGCGTACTTGAAAAGATCCTTGGAAGGGACTATTCTGCTCCAAGATTGCAGTCCGAGCAAAACAAAGCTAGGCCTGAAGCTGCTCACATGAAGAATTTATAGCATCTTAGAAGATTAACCTCAAACATTGAGTTAATCTGGCTTGCAGACCACTAATCTTGGACTGGCAAAGCTTTTTTCTCAAATCATTTGTTTTCGGCTTTGACTTTGACATTTGACATTTGCACTGCTGCGACAACTATCCACAGCCATTATAAAAAAAAGTCTGACAAAGCCTGTGGATTTCTTCCTGGGTTGTCTCTGCATGCCATGACTAAAAAAAATGGTTGTATGTTAAAAACACATTTTGGAATCCAGGCCGAAAGATATAATACATGGTACTGAAGCCAACCAAAAAAAAATTATTAAAAAAAAAAAAATCTGAAATTAGAAATTCATAGAAATATCAATCAGCTTATGTAGATATTGTGTAGGCTATATATCAGACTTAAAAGTGTGAAGCAGAAATGGAAAGGAGTTGAACCTCCTGACTTTTTTTATACTGTTCCCTGTACATGTCCACTTCCCCCCCCATTTTTTGACCAAACGCGGTGCCCGCTTAAAGTACTTACAAGAAAAGATGTACAAATATATAGTGTATAAAGCAATATGTAAATTATGGAATAACAGGCACTTGTTTTTTTTTATGAAGAAATCTGTCAAAAAAAATACCAAAAATATAAATATAATGTATAACTATTTGTAGCTTGTATGTTTTACTTGTATGCCATTTGCAGAACTTATGTATAAAGAAAGAAAGATATCTTTACTGTAGTAACTAGAGTATTTGACTTTAAGATGCTAAGGCACAGATGCTTTGGACTAATCCGACGAGATGGCGGCACACTCACACGTGATGTTCACTTTCTTAAAGGCGCGTAGGAACATTTGCAATTACCTGGAAACGTACCTACCGATATAACAAGAAAATGCCCTTCCTCAATGTGACGATAATACTGGTACCAAATACCTTGTGAAATTATTCTGTCTGAAATGATATCATACAGAATAAAACGGTCCTTGAAGGTTGTTTAAGAAAGTGTGCCAACAGGCAGTTTTGTATGTGCATTAGTAACAGAATCCAGTTATGAGACCCCCAAAAATTGCGCGTACGTTTTTTTTTTCTTTCTGTTCTTAAGTTGTTGGACAAGACAACTCAGTCTCCAAGAGAAAATGATTAATTCGGCATCGATTAGTGAAGATGGCTCTTTCAAGATGTTCATGTAGCCCTATTTTTTAGGGAAAGAATGCTGCATCCTGACGCCACTTTTTTCTTAATGTATCATCTCAATAATGGTCAGTCATTGACAAAATGTTGAGAAGACATGAATCTAGGACTGAGAAACATATTTGAATTTAAATGAGACTTGAAGGTTTGCATGATGGAAAGATCAATAAGTGAGAGGTTTGCGGTTTTGAGTTAATCCAACAGGTTCTCTTCAGAACCACACATACTCACAAAAGAGATATTTCCACATGGTGTTACCGCAAACCTCTCACTTAATATTTGAATTTCCTGACTCTCCATAGACTTTGTACACAACCGCTGAAGTGGCGTCTAGTCATGCTAGTTAGCAGGTTGCTACATTCTTTCCCTATTTTAAGTTTTTCATTTTGTTCGTCGTAAGTAGAAGTATTTATTGTTGGGGCACTTTTCTCTCTTCTTTTATCTGTTCTCTCAGAATAGTATCCACTGTGGTGAACTTCAACAAATAAGTTCTTAAGATTTTGAGGATTTTTTTTGCTTCAAATTAAAAAAAAAAATGCACTAAAACCAAATGATCCTACGTGCCTTTAATTTGAGGTACCAGTGTAATTTGTAAACCGTATTGGCTCAAGAACAACGAGTGCAAACATACACCTGTGTATTGGGTTTGCTTTCATCTCAGTAATATGGCCCTTCCAAAAGTTTGTCGGATATGTTTAAAGTTTGTGCCATTGATTTCAGTGTAGTAATCTTGCCAGAAGATCTCTTATAATGATCAACAATGTGTGCTGAACTTTTTTGTTGTAAACAAAGCTTTGTTTGCAAAGGCTCTGAAAGTTTGGTTGGAGCAAACTCAGCAAGATTTTTGGATCTGTCGACCAGATCTACTGCAGGGATGCGAGTTAGCCTTGACATTTTTGTAGTAAAACTGAAGTATATACCAGAAACTGTACTCATATGTATGGCGCCATTATTATCTGAAATTAAAAAAAGAAAAGACAAAAATAAGCATCATCTTACAGGAAGACTTACATCCCTGCGACTGAGGACTTATTCAGATATTTGGTCTGTTGGTTTGTTCATTAGCTAGTTGATTGGTCGTCAGTTAGCTTGTTGTCTTGGTTTGTCCGAAAGCTTGCTGGCTGTGTAACTGGTTCATTGATTGGTTGTTTGCTTTTTTTGCTGGTTGCATACTTTTAGTGAGTGCTTTTTTCACTTATTTGTTTTTTTCTTTGGCTTGTTTGTTCTTTGAAAGATAAAAAAAAAGTCCTTTACAAAATGGATGTTGGATAAGACAACTCAATCTCCGACAGAAAATTTAGCATCAATTACTGTAGATGCTCTTTAAAGATGCTCGTGTAGCCCAATTTTGTTTTTCATTTCGTATGTAGAAAGTACAAGTATTTATTATTGAAGCACTGAGTTTTATTAAGTTTAAGTCTTATTCATGCTTTTAGGTAAACAACTTGATGGCACTTCCACTTAATTTTTGTTTAACAGAAATTATACAAATTTCCAATTCGTACATTTGATTTTTTTTAATGTTCTGCATATGATAAACTTACATAAAGGCCAGGCCTGATCGAGAGTACTTTTGTCCATACTTAAATTATTCTTTTTTAATTTGGATTCAGAATTGATGTGCACAGAAAGTATTTGAATAAATCTGAGGAGACATTTCTTGTAAACGAGTGTGTGTCTTTTTAAAGACTCAGTACTATGTAAGAATGACTGAATCACTTCTTTGGCAATGTTCAGATTTGTGAACTGAAACTGCATTAGGCCAAAAAAAAAAAGTCTCCGGTTTCTGGTATGGAGCTTGCCTCAAAAGTGGTGCGGCGACGCAGCTTTTTTTTTTTTTACCTGTTTTTTTTTTTTTGGCTTCAAATGTCGGCTGATGACTGCAAATGGTGCCCGACTAAACTTACTGCAAATATATGGTAGTCCAGAGAGGCCACATAAAGCTTATTCTCGATCATAACCCCATCTAAAAACACGTTAAAATTGTGCAGCAGCAGGATTCCAGTCAAACCAGTGAGTTTGGCGGTTTTGAGACATCATCTTGTATTGAAAAATTTTTTTTTTCATTTTGCCGACGCGCATGGCTACGGCGACGCGCGCGCATACCAGAAACCGGAGACTTTTTTTCTGTGCATATCTGTATGGCAAAATGCGACAGAACTGGGCAGAGAACAAAATGAGGATTAAATAAAAGATACCTTTTTGAGACTTTGATTACAGAACTCGTATCAGGAGCTGTAACTAAAGTCTCAAAAAGGTATCTTTTATTCAATTGATATAATAATGGGACAGGAAACGAACTTTCATGCTCAACAAAATGAGGGTTTGTGGGTGTAAGGAAAGATAATAAAATTAGCATAACAGTACTTTTTGTTGCACTTCAATCAGACTTCTTTCGTTTGACAGTTATGGCTGTTTAAAGCTCACATTTATTGACAAGTCAAAAAATAAAATGCTGAGAAAAAGGCCTATAAATTTCGAGTTTTGTATTTGGGAGAATGATAGATAGCAACTATTTTTCCTAAAGAAACACGACTTATATTCCACATTTTCCCCATTTTTAATAAAATTTGCATAGTAGCCATATCAAAAATTACAAATATCAATAAATCTGAAAATTCAAATTTTTTTTACCCCCATTTAGTTGTTTGCATTTTACTCCACTAAGGCCTGTGCCAAGTTCCATCTCATTTTGCCAGAATGCGATTTTCAAAAGTTTAAGACACGAACAAATTCAATCATCCAACAACAAGTTCATTTTTTAAAGTTTATTGTAGAAAAATGTTATTCTTCAAATAAAAGTGCAAGTGATATATAATGTTTGCTTTATGAATGTAAAGCTACCTCTCTCTTAAAAAAAATAGAACCAGATTACAAAAGGTTAATGACAGTACATTTGTTAATAATTCCTTCATAAAATACAATACAAACATCACAGTATCATGGGGTAGGATAAATACATTAATAACTGACCATTGCAACTTCAAATTCTTTTGAAAAAAAAATAGAGAAGTTTAAGTTGGAGGACATAATGTCATTTTCAAATTGTTTTGGAAATTTCATAATTGGCGAGACAGTGATTTTACTGCATAGAAACGCACTCGGTAAACGGGGGGAAAAGGACATAAATAATCAGCCCTTAATTTATCAAAATTTCAGATTAACTTTTAATAACATAAGCCCAATCTCATCACAAGGAACATTTTACAAAATTTAGATTGAGTATATTAACACAATGCCCAGTAAAAAAAAAATGAAACACTGTTGTTCTCGGGGTTGTACATGCAACCAGTGGAGTACCTCAAATCTAGACAAAAAGTTAAACTAATAAATACTAAAGTGAAAATGAAGTGTTTATTCTGTGACTACATGAGGGTAAACTAATGCTGTGTTTTTTGTGAAATATGTAAGAGAGATCTGAACTGGGCCAAAACATCTCAAAAAGTCAACGCAACTCTAGGTTCAAGTGTATACTTCAACCACAGATCAAACACAAAATGCACCCAATTCCTACATGAACAGTTTAAAAGCACGAACTGCATGCTACAAACAAATTATTCTGCCTCACTTTTCGTCACACAGCTATTCATGTACGCACACAAAAATGTGTATGATACAGCAAGCTCTTGTACCAATCTTGTGGGCTCTACATCATGTCTTAAAAGTGTTCTCATCTTGTAAGGCTGTGTCTAAGTCACTTGTCTACGGCTTGCAATTTACACACACACCTGTGGAAGTGGCTAGATCCATATCCATATACGTGTGTAATGTCAGCCACAGCCATCCAAATTGGACGCAGCCTTAGTCTCAACCTGAATGATGACATGTAAAAGTTATCACTGCTATTTAACTGACTGTGTTCTATCTGTACAGAACAGATACCAATATCGAAGATTGTTACATCATTTTGAAATTTGATTGCATATTACTAAGGTTGATAAAGAGTTTTACAGATGTCGTATTTCAACAATTTTTTTTTCAGTGACAATCACAGAAAAGGTCAGAGCACCTACAGGTGTTCTTAAGACAATTTTCCATGAAACTTGTACATGATTTGACTGCTAAAAACAATCAGAAATCTAATCCACAGCAGGCAACTACAGACCCAGTATGGTTCAGGCAACTTTTCAAGCGCTCTCATTGGACAATATTCACACTGTAACAACCAATCACTTTGTACAAATTGTGATTTTGACCAAATTTTAGATCACAGTTGTACAACATGATTGGTTGTCAAGCTAGTTCTGAAATCAATTCGTTACGATCATCAATTCGGTGTGAGGGGTTTCTTTCAACAAAAGGAGGCCTTTCAACTTTTTAAGGATCGTCAAGTTTGTCAAATTTATCACCTTCCAAAATAGGACTCGTTTCTTGTAACATTGACAAGATGTGAAATTTTTTGAAATCATATGGATAAAAAATCATAGTTTATCTATAACAATCTCATACATTGTAAATCAAACATAAATTGCAAGATGAAAACTTCAAATAATTACATAAAACCCACAAAAATGTAGTTTATCCAACTTTTTTGTTTGGTAATAAATTAGGTGGGGTAACTATTGACATAGTCAATCAACTGGAACAATTCATGCACGATAAACCACTGTTTTTATACAAAACACTACAATTTAAATTGATGAAGATTACCTCACAAATTACACTGGGCCAGCCAGTGTACACATTCAATCAATGACCATCACAATATTAGTTGCATGATATTAATGACTGGTAAATATTCTCATTCAGTATTCAATGTCTCTTTCCATCATTTTACAGAAAAAATACTCAAACACTGCCAGAAAAAAACTAGTGTTCATTCTTACAAATATTACAAAAAAGCAATTACAAAAATATAATTCAAAATTTGATGCTTTGAAAAAAAGCTTGCAAGCCACATTTGAATTTTTGTGATGGCATGTTGGTTTCATCACTGTGAAATGAACAGATTTAAAGAACATTTGTTTTAAATTCTTTTGATTTTCTAGTTCCACAAACACGTTCTTCAAAATTCCTCCAAAAACAACTTTTTGTCTGCCACAGCATGTCAAACACAACAGGACAACTTAACAAATGCAAAATTACAATCACAAAAAAACCCAAAATATTTCAAAGTAGAAAATATATCTTTTTACATAAAGCTTCTGTTTAAAAATACAACTATAATTCTTTGAGGCCCAGTAAAGCCGAAGACGGGGCATTCTCCAAAACAGGGTTGTCCCCAAAAAAGTTGTGAAAGCAGATATCCTTAAATTTCTCAAAAACTGCTTAAGATGAGTATTTCATCTTGATGGAGCACATTCATTATACTCTTGTGTATATTCAGTAAAAATGTCATGGAAATTCGTTCATGCAAACCAGAGATCTAACAGATTGTAAAAGGCTATGTGTTTTTCACCCATTCCAATGGGATTGGGATTTACACAGTTAACTTAATTTACATCATCAGAGTGAGAAAGCCCATGACAATCTGATGCACTGATATCACTAACTGTGTAAATCCCATTGGAATGGGTGAAAAACCCATAGCCTTTTACAATCTGTTAGATCTCTGGATTTCCATGGCATTTTCACTGATTATACACAAGAGTATAATTAATACGCTCCATCAAGATGAAATACTCATGTTAAGTAGTATTTGAGAAATTAAAGGATACTTGCAGAACTTTTTTGGAAGACTCCCTGTAATTAGCTCCCAACATAATGTAGGACCTATGCAGAGTTAACTTAGGCACAAACAGTAAACCATTGATTTGTATAAGGCTTATGCCTTAATTAATCATACCAAAATGTGGCCAACCCCATCAATATCAGGAAGGTTAGGATTAATTTGATTTTACAAACGTTGGCGACAAGAAAAATGCTTCCTGTTGTTCTGCTTTTTTTTTTTTAACCACTTCGCGTCGGGTTTATTTGTGCCGAAAATTCCAAATTTTTAAAAGGCAAAATTTCCCAGCGAATTTTCTGATCTACAGCCAAATGCCACAAGTACAGATTCGCAAGAGCGATTTCAACAGTATTTGTACAATATTTCTCCTGGGTGTGCACTGGAGCGTAAATTGTACAACAATAGGCCGTGCACAACGACCAACACAACGGTCAGCTCATGGTCCGCCTCCACAGACTTTGTGTGTGTGTACAAAAGGTACGAGGGATTAGCGTGTTTAGACGTCACCCGGAGGCGAGTCAAGGCAATCTTGACGTCTTAACCCGTCAGCCGTGCCTGGGCATAAAAACAGCCAGTGCGTGTTATCACGGCCTCTGGTGCGAACTGATTAATCCATTTTCTTCACTAGTCCATAAAAGGTTTTTTAGAAGTTAAGGAGCAAACATCATTCTCCAGAGATTCAATTCGTGTTTCTCTTCGATGAAACTATTGATCAGCAAGTGTCACTGTAACAAAATCACCAGCTACCTAAAGTACTTACAATAAACTCACTCTTCGTAACAAAATCTACCATTTGTCTTGGTGGGTCGAATCTACTGTTAACTGTACGGTGGATCAGCACACCTAAATAACAATCACGAAAGTCTAAATGCACACTCATACACATATATGTTGCCACGCATTGCGGTTTCTGAAGGGGCAAAGAACATACATATAGCTCAATCACAAATGATATTTATCTCAGAGCTAGAAGAAAGCCGGTTTTGACATTTAAAAAGCATACTCTAACTTAACTGTTTAATATAAGGTTTTTACCTTGCGTGGTAAGTTTGCTGACAAGTTTGTGGTCCTTAAATTCTAAGCTCTAGTCCTTATCTAAGGGTGCAGGTAGGATATCTTCAGGCTGAAAATCTAATAGGTCCTTAGGAGGCACATCATTTAGTAACTAGGAAAACTTGTGGACAAGTTTATCTGCAATAAGCCCATCAAACTGGGCATTAGTTGCAGAATTCTGAACATTTTTTCCAGAATCTTCCCACTTTGGGGTTATCAATTTCGTCACCATTTTCACGAATTGACACATGCGCTGTGTGGTGTCAGTTCCTGAAAACCGCGTAATCAATCATTTTGCTTTCATGAACGGCCACGCAGGTGCGCCCACTTCATACACTGAAGCGTAAAAGAAAAAAATCTTGTTTTCATGAAGTTAAACGCAAGCATGTGGCGGAAATTACTATTAGGAGTAAACGCTTTGAAAGGTTTGACATAAATTTAATCCATCCGTACAGGCCTACTTGTGGGCTGACACAAAAATTTAATTAAAAACCTTTTTACTGGTGAAATTAAGACCAGTTTCGTGAAAACGAAAATGTACGGAGTGCGTGCAGGTGTCAGTTCATGAAAACCAAAATAACGCGGTTTTGTAAAGTACAAGTGCGTGCCGACAACCGGCACTCACGTGCAACTCAGTGTCAGTTCATAGTGTCAGTGACGATTTGTAAGCAATACTGGTAGCTTCATTGTGGGAAGATTCCAGGAAAGTCGTTCAGGTACCTGCAAATAGCACCCAATACAATGAGCCTATTGCAGAAAAACCTGTCTGCAAATTATCCCTGTTATTTAACGAGTCCTTAACTTTTGGCTTATATTAAATTTGCTGGATTAACAAACATAATCTCTGGAGGTGGATTCTTGTCATGGAGGCACTTTGTTGCGGAAGAATGTATACTAATTTTTTTGTAATGTTTGGCCAAAGAAAACATTTGTCGGTCTCTGGTCATACCAAATTCCGGAATTGATGCGGCGATGCATTTTTTGGGGGGGGGGGGGGGCTTTTTTTCCAATCCAATATTTTACAGACAAGGTAGGTACTATTTTGCTTTTTTGTGTCCTCATAAACCTTGGTGTCCTCCATTATTCGCCCTGGGCCCTTCTTCATTCGTTGGTGCTCTTTGGTATGAACATTTGAGGTGGTGCGGCAATAGAGGGCGCTGCTGTAGCTACCGCCATTGGCTACCACGGAAAATTTGAAGAAGAAAATACACTGACGTGCATGATCAAAATCAACGCGTGCGCTGACCAGAGACTGACTAATTTCTATTTTTGGCCTTAGAACGAACGAGAATAACTGTTACTGAAACTTGCTCACTCCTCCCTCAAAGGAAGAAATCCACCCTGGCTGACAGAATGACTCGTGGGTTGCTTGAAGCTGGTCCTCAGACACTGCAAGGAGAGGCGGGGAGGCATTTTGGCTGGCAGTCTCTGTTTCTTATTCTCCATCTTGCAACCTTCGCTGCTCTCTCAGTAAACCCTTCAGCTGTTCTATCTCCTTATCTTTGGCCTGGCAGATGAAAAAGGAAGGGAAACAATTCAGAATATCTTCAAAGACGGACTTTCAGAAACCTAGGAAGATCAAAATATCTATGGTGGCAAGTTTAAACCTCCCAATCCCCCTCTCCAAATTTTGCAAAAACGTAGGGTGGATTCATACCTCATGCAAATGAAATGTACAGGGAATTCAAAATCACAAAACGTCCAAAACAAAATTCACTGAGTTGGAATTATGTTCAACTTCGGCAAAATTCTCAGCACAAAATACACGACATGACATCACAAATTTGTGTCGAGTGTGAACTGTTCACACTCGTTTTCAGAATGCTAAACCCAACCTAGCCAGGGGATCATGGCTCTTGTGTCCCCAAGCAAGACACTTTGTTGTGATTCCTGCCAGGAGTTAATGAGGATAATGAGAGCAAACTTGGTAGATTAAGTTGATTGGAATGAGTGATATACCCAACACAGCATCATCGTGAAAGCAGTACATCGAACTCAAAGTATAAGAGTTTTCATTTGAAGTTTGGAAATTGTCAAGCCCCCCCAATTTACGTTTGAGGTTCCATTCACATAGGTTTTCTTTAATATTCATGTGGGATCAGAACTATGCCCTATGGTACGTAAACAATGGTAAAGGTCACGTTTTGATACCCTGATTCCAAAATAAAGTTGTGTTTAATGCAAAATAACTTTTTGAAAAGCAAGAAATGGCAATAAAAACAAACAAATTGTTGGAAATGAGGTCAGTGTGATAAAGGCTACAATTAATGTACTGATACAGTTAAACTGGACATGCATGAGACTGTAGGAATAAACTGATTACCAAGGTTAAGATATGTGGCATGCTGGATGGTTGACAGCATGCAGGCTTCAAGATGGGGTTGAGTTTGATTAAGAAAAGTCAGGGGTTTAAAAAAAGAGAAATATTACATTATGGTGTCCTTTCGGAAGACTGAGGAACAAACACACACTCCACAAGTCAAGTAAGAATTACATTTACATGTACCTGTACACAGACTTATATTGCGGAATGCCAGTACGTGTTCTGTACACCCAATAACAGCCAGAGATTTTTAGTTTATACCTGAAACTGTAGGTCTTTCTAAAATCTTTTCAGTGGTACACCAAAAAACAAATGCGTATTTTGTTTTTCATGTGCAGCCTCAAAGCAAAATGTTTAAAACCTACCTATAAAAACCTATATTTTCATTCTGCCTTACATTTTATAAATTGTTAAAGAAAAATGTAAAAATCCATTTGATCCACAGTTTAATTATCCTAATGCCAAAATAACCACATTGTGAATAATGGGTAGTTTTCATGATCTCCTAGTCGTCTGACTTGCCTGTTGGAAACAAACTGGTTTTATGTAACTTTATCTAGTGTGGAGAATTTGAAGTAAGCCCTTTTTTCTGCTACCTCAAGCTTAAACCTATAAATGCCTATATTTTGGCTGGTGGAAGACATATACTTTGATTTTCAAAACCTATTTTAAAAAAAACTTGTATTGATGAAGAGGGGCACTGTGAGGGCAGGAAGTGTAGATTGAAAATCCTTCCATAGGTCATCCAAAATACGAAATTGGACATTTCAGGATGGCAAAATGAAACCAGCGACAAGCTTCAAATTTGTGATGAGTTTTGAAAAACAAAGCTGCATTGGCAAGCTCTGTTTTGCTTGAATGAATGAATGAATGAATGCTTTGAATAATAGGAACAGCCTTTACACATGGTAATGGCATGAAAAAAATGTGTATTTGGCAAATGCAGCTTTACTTATGTTCAATATACATGTACTAGAAGCAATTGAAAGAAAAGAACAAATGCCAAACAGATGATGCTGAAAACGATATGATTAAAAAAAAAATGCATACTGATGTTCAACACAGCACAGCACACAGGGATAAATTTTTTTGGGAGAGGAAGGCAGAAAAAAACTGCAAATTCTGACTATGGGGGGAAAAACACCACAACTTGAGTCTGTCTTTGTCACTAGTTCCCCACCTGAAGTTGCCGCTGGAATAGCTGGGCGTCTAGCTGTAGCTCTTGCCTGAGTTCTGATATGATAGCTTGCCTCATCTAGCGTGGGAAAAAAGGGGAGGGGGTACAGACATCCGGCAGGTAAAAGGAGTTGAGAAAAACACAGTGAGAATAAAAAAAATAAATAACAGCACACGCATGTAATGTTTATGGGCTACGTTTTCTTGGGGGTGGGGTGAATCTTTGCAATTTCAGCTGAATGGTTTGGGTTGTGGTTTACCTTGATTACTTTTGGGAGACGGCATCTATTTGGGTAAAAGTAAATAAATAAATAAATAAATGTTTTGTAAGATGCACTAAACCGAAATCTACTTAAGACTTAACTTGCCCCTTGCCCTAAGTAATCGATCCAAATAGGAAAGCTTTTGCATTAAACAAAAAAAAGCAAAAACCTCGGGTTAAAAAAACGCTTCCCTAGGAGCAAGAAAAACAAGCACTGGACAAAAGCCACGTTCGCATCGGACTAACTATTGTAAAAAGTTACTGTGAAGTTACTGTCAGTGTGCAATACCTATTAGACCTACATGTATACAAAATTGTTTGCAATTCTTAAAAATAAAGTGTCTGCAACCCAACCAAAATACTGAAGACAAAATCTTCATTATCGACCAAAAATCAGCAGGTTTTGTTTTGCTTTGTTTTTTAGCTTTTGGGGGGGGGGGGGGGAGCTCACTCTAAACCTTCCAAGATCGTTCCTGAACTTGTAGAAAAAATGTGACATGTTTGAGGAATATTGTAACTGGGCAAATCAAACTGAAGATGTTGACGTTCCTCCTTAAAGACGCCCATAAAAGAAATAACATACAGCTCATTTTAAGGCACTGTTTGGTGTGCCATAAGCAATGCACAGAGTGCACATCACACTAGAAAGGGCAAAATCCAAAGCTATTTGATGAGATAAAACCACTTCAATTACCTAGCTGCTAGTGCAGGTGTAATTACACATATTACACAAGAGACTGGTACAAACAAATTACTAAAATACAGAGAAACCTAAATGAAAGTCCTGAATCCTAAAATTTTAATATGATTTTACACACCCCCTAGGGAGTAAGGGGTAATGAAAAGAAAAAGGAATGAAAATTGGAGAACTGCATTTCCAAAACTCTAGTCATTATTCTTGCCGTTGTTAAGCAACAGAGAAAGGTCTTTAGATATTGGATAACCTTTGGTAAATGCTACGGAGGTTTGCCTAGATACTAAGCATTAGCTTATTACTGGCCACTCACACTTCACCTAGCAAACATACTGAACAAATACGGTTTGGACACTCCAATAAAAGGCACCTATCAAGAATGTAAATAAAGAAGAATATATCTTTACATTGTGTCCGAACCACAGGTTGAGTGCCGTGACTTGTGAAGGCACTGACATTAAGGGACTCATGTTAATTCAACTGCACAATGCATAATTCTGCTCATTTTGTGTTTTATGATGTATTACGCAGCACAATCCTCAGGTCTGGACTAAAGTGCGTTGTCAGCAAATTGAAATGACAGTAAATTTTTCATCCCTTTCCCTACATTTCTAAAAATTACTGAGACATACATGGACATTAAAACAGAGGTCCTTTGAAAATACTCTCTATGTAACCACGTTTGTGGTACGTTTTTAACGGTACTTTTTTTAACAACTAATTTGATTTTCTTCCTGTAGTAACAAAATATAATTGGTGGGTTGTTGTTTTTTGAGAAGCAGACTTCCTGGTCTTTTTCTGAGCCTTACGAGCTCTCAGTTTGAGATTCTCTACAAATGTTCTGATCTACAAACAAAAAAATTGATACAGACTAAATGGATAAGTGTCTAATTTTGTTAAACGCTTAAGACAACTACATGTTATTCAGTGCAGAGAATTCACTTGCGATGGATTTGTGCAAAAGAAAGACAGCGTTTTTTAGTGCAAGAGAAACAGAACAAAGTACCAAGATTCCTGATCAAGATTTGAAAGTTTTTTGTGACTGCTCTAACTAAAAGCATGGTCATGAACCCTTTGCACAGCTTTGCTAAGAGAGAGGCTGTAACTGCACAGTGCGGTGTTGTTTTGTAATATTTCAGTATTCGATTATTCAAATATTCACAATGTGGCAATCAAATTTTACGTGTGCCATACGCCAGGCTAAATTGAATGCATAAGTCGGAAATTAAATGGACTGCCAGTTGGGATTTGTGTGGCTTTGTCGAAAATTGACAATGAGCTTATTAAAAAACATTAAGGATATCATGTATCAATAATTCATGGTTTTTTTCTATGAGGTAGCTGACTACCCGCTTTTTGAAATATTTAAAGATCTCACAGAGGCTCTTAAGTCATGCGTATATTAAGTTACTGTCGGCCAAAATGTAGCATTTGACAAACTATAAAACGTTGCAACTTATATGATTTAAAGAGGTTGTGGAATGCTGAAAGTCGTTTTGTTTTTTATATTTTTTTATTGCAGAGTAGACCCATATATATCATAATGACAAACTCCCATTCTTTTGTAATGTGCGTTTATATGTTTATAAAACTGAAATTCATCGAGTAATTTGTTGGTCGGCGAGCGCATAATTGAAATCAACAGTTGTTGGGTTCTTCGTCAAATCAGAAAAATCGTGACATAATAAACAGGACTCGTTTATACTATGCTGCATAGGGAGTCCTGTTTATTACGTCACGATTTACTATGTTTTGTTTGCTGCCCCAAACGACGACTTTTACACAAATTGCACGTTCGGGTCGACACAGGACCTGAAAAACAGCTCTCAAAAGTACCTTTTGTATTCATTTCATGACAGAAACAATAGTCGTTTTTATTTCATCACACCTTAGGCTACATATACCCGAAAAAAGACGGAAATGTCTTCGAGCATTCCACAACCTCTTTAAATAACAGCACAGACATTTCTCCTCATCTTTTTTTGTTTTGAATATCTGAATTCGAAAAATGCAATTGCGTGTTCGTTAGATGATAAAATATTCAAATATTCGAATAGTTGGCAAAGCCTCACAGAGCAAAGGGCACACGTACAATCACAGTTCTGAGCTTCCTGCAATTTGTTAAAGACTATGCGGTATTTTGTACACATGCACACAAGCCAAAATTAGTCCAATCACCCGTGCAGAATTGTTGGCAAAGTTTAGCAGGGAAAGTTTGTTTACGGTAATCATAGAGGACGGGGCTTCACCTCTGAGTTCATGCGTTCAGATGGACGCTAGTCCCACTTGACCTTTGACCCCTCGACCCCTCACCTCTTTGACGGCATTGTTCATCTCTCGCCGCGCCGTCTCCCGCTGGTGCTGTAGCTCCAGCCTGACGTCCATCAATGCCTGCATCATCTCTCGCTTCTCACTGGTGCTGATGACCACATCTTCTTCCTCCTCTTCTTCCTCCTCCTGGTATGAGGACCCCAGGCTGCCAACGGCTGACAGATCCGGGACGGTGGAGGCCTCAGAGAGGCTGGTGTGGGAGTGGGTGGTCTCCAGATCTTGGAGCATGCGACGGAGGGAACGTTGCTCCTCTAAGAGGTTCACCATCTGCACATCACGGTAGCAAGAAGGCAGGATAAAGATGTGGAAAAGAAACACTTAACAAGTGAAATAATTCAGGGAAGTAGTCGAGTCAATCACAAGTCCACCACAAGTCCAGTCACAAATAAATCACAAGTCCAGACACAAGTAAATCACAAGTCCAGTCACAAGTAACAGTGAATGAACATTAACAAAGGAATGCCTTTGCCAAAGCTCATTGGAATAGCTTGAAGGTTGAAGGTCCCTCTGGCTATCAAATCATCTCCATCACAACATTTAAGACAAACATAAAATCTCACCTGTACAAACAAGCTTACTCTCACAACACACAATCCTAACTTGGCTTTCTCCTCAAGCGCCATGAGCGCCTTTTTGTGGCGGATACCGGCGCTTTACAAATATTCTTTATTATTATTATTATTATTATTAAATAGGAGTGGAGGACTTGTGATGGACTTGCAGGGACTTGTGATGGACTTGACTACATCCCTGGTGAAAAACATCTTGGCTATTTTCCCAATCTCAGCTTTGTCTTCGACTTTTCCTTGTGCTCTGGTTCCACAAACATTCCAAAGCCATTAATGTCCAAATCAAATGGAAATACTCTTAACTAGGACCTGCAGGTTGTTGCAGGATTTGATGTTCTTGAATCAGAGGATGAACCTGAGCCGGAGTCTCCAGGTTAGAGACATTAAATCTTCTGGAGCCAAAAATCGAAGATAAAGCAACCCCAATGTAGACTGTAAAATACCGATTATGACAGTGTCTAATTTGTTGCTGGTATTTTGGAAGTTTCAGTTGCAAAACCCCAAATCAGTCAATTTTTTTATTCAAAAACAGAGGACACCAGCTGCTTTTTTTTTTACACGACATATTGAATACATGAATTATACCCTCAAGTTATTGTTGCCCACAGAACAATCTCTCATTTTAGACTGGAAATGAGACTAACAGTCAGGCAGCCCCTTACCTCCTGAATGACCTCCAGATTGTCCTCAGATGCAGTTGCTAGGCTTTTCTCGAGCCCATCCTGAAACCAAAACAGAAATTTGTAGAATGATTTATTACACAATTTGATACTGGTACGCATTAGGGATCGTCTGATGATACATAATGATTAAAATGTCACTGTCAATGTGTTTTGCTACATGGATTTTACTGAGGCCTCGCTTGTACATGTACATGTACATGAAAATCATGTTCATTGTACATGTATCATGAAAAATAGTTTTAAAATTTTATAATTTTTTATTCCTGAGAAAATTCTCAATGTACATGTCTGTATTATTCAACCAAAAAAGACCTTACTCTGTAAAGAAACATCAACATGTACTGTAAATCAGTCATGATTGAAAAAGAAATATTTTTTTAGCTACAGTACTGATCTATTTTATTTCACTCGAACAACAGGTGCTTAGGCTTGAATTCATGAGGTGCCCTTATCAGGTGTGCCATACCTGATTTGGGGTTGATGGCCAAACTCCGATACCGGAGCTACACATCCAACTGACAAAACCCAATTCATCCTGAAATTCACTTGTTACAGGTGGCCTAAGTTCCAATGAGCGTTTTTTTTTAATATAAATACAGCCGTCCCCCCCCCCCCCCCCCCCCCCCCGATGCCATGATCAATGCAGCACTGACAGCTACTTTCATCTAATAATCCGTGGATTTCATGTAATCCACTTCAGTCCCCTCTCTCTACATCGCAATCCGATCCATCACTGCCCACATTGTACCCGGCAGATTAGCCATTGTGGAGACAGAAATCTCACCAGACTCACATCTGCTCTTTACAAAAGAAGCCTTCTGATTGAGTGTTTTGGATTTCCATGGCAAACAGACTGACAAATCTGTGTGACTTGTGTAAATCCAGACTGCACATATTAAAAAAAAAATCTTGTTGATCTTTCTTCTCTCTTTTATTAAAGGAGGGGCATTTTCCAGGGTCCACAGACCAAAGAAATACATAAAACTTTAGCACTGAACCGTACTGTACATGTACCTAACAATTAGTTCTTTTTAATTTGAATCAGTTTAAGATCTATTTTCACAAACTTTTTTTAAAGTGGTGGAAATCACCACTTTTTGTGTGTTGCTATCACACTGTGTGAGATCCGGTCAAATTTGACAAGAGAAAAAAAAGTCAGTCTTTATTTCTATTTCAAGGGTTTCTTACAAGACCATTTTTGCGCTTACTTTAAGCAGTTACTGGCAACTAGGGTTCTGCAGTTCCTTAGAGGGAAGCTCATTTGTTGGCATGATCAGCAGGGGTAATAACAAGTATAATGCAGAAAGTTCCTTCAAATTAGGTTTTGCCCTTCACCGACGTATAAACACTGTATACTCAGTGTGTTACCTCCTGAGTGAAAGTTGGAAGAAAATCACTCGGGTGGGACTCGAACCCACGACCTCCTGCTTTCTAGTGCAGATGTCTTACAACTCGACCACCGAGCTAACGGGATCAGAACGAGAAAGTTCCTTGATAAACCATTAACTACGCTAACCTTTATTGCAGAAATTTCTGCTATAGTTAGCAATGATTTTTGCTTACAGTAAGCAGAACCATAAGATTGGGCCAAAGGCACGATCTCATGCAGGAAACGTTGCTTAGCACCAAATAAGCTGAGCACTAGACAGTATCAATATCAATCCCATGACATTTTGGCCGGATCTTGCTAACAAAGTATTTTCTGTGTGTAACAAATATATGTATGTGCCCATCAACTCCATGGTACGGACTTCGTGCATAGGTAATCCCTCACTCAGTCACAAAGAGAGAGTTAAGGGGGAAGTTAAATGCATTTCTGCCGGATGTCTGGCACTATTATGCAAAGAAGACTTGAGGTTTGTGCACAACAGAATAAAATTGAAAATTCGGGCCATGGTTTTAGTTCAGCTCTTACCGGGAAGTTGGACCTTGTGACGGCTGTCCTCATCCGCTGAGCCAGCTGGCCTTCCATGACCTCCACCTCCTCCAACACCTGCCTGCGCAGATCTCTGACAGATTCCAGCTCCGCCCTCTCACGCTCCGTCATGGCCCCGCCCCCAAACTCCTCCCCCTCCCCGTCCTCATCCAGGTGCCTGGCGTACAGACGCTCGGCCAGGCTCTCTAACTCACACAGGTCCTGCTTGTACTTGAAGAGTGCTCTCTGGATGAGCTTCATGTCGTGGAGGTCGTCCTGCAAAAATGATGAGCAAGTCAGAAACAAAAATGATGATCCTCTTCAAACCCCAGAATTTCATAAACCTCATGTAATAAAAACCAAAAAATGGCAAAAAAAAAAAAAATCGGTCTCTGGTCAGACCAAAGTTCCGGAATTGATGTGGCGACGCGGCTTTTTTTTTTTTTTTTGCTTTCTTTTTTTTTTCTTAAAGCTTGGATTGTACAGACAAGGTGGGGTACTATTTTGCTTTTTTGGTGTCCTCATGTACATTGGTGTCCTCCATAATTTGCCTTGGTGCTCTCGATCATTTGCCTTGGTGCAATTTCCCATTCCTTGGTGCTCTTTGGTAAAAAGAAATGGAGGAGGTGCGGCAATAGAGGGTGCTGTTGGAGCTACCGCGAAACATTTTGGAAAAAAAAGATTGACGCGCAAGATTAAAATCGACGCGCGCGCTGACCAGAGACCGACTTATTTTTTTTTTTGGCCTAACTGATGATTTTTTTAAACACGTTTTTCAAAAGAAAACATATTTAGTATGCAACCCCATAATTAATTTCATTGCTGATATTCAATTAAAAAGACCAGAAGAGAAATTATTGAAAGACCGATATTCAGACCAGTATGTAGTCTGAGTGTTAATTCATATTGAAACCAATACTTTGGAATACTAAAGAATGTTTGAAGGGTTTGAGAAGGCACCAATGTGGCCCTTAAACCTACACCCCTCTAAGAAACCAAAAGCATGTGTTTTTTTTGTTTTCTTCAAGTATTCAGGTTTGCAAAAAAGAAGGGATGCTTACTGCCAAATGCCTAATTTGGAAACATTAGATTACAGCTGACATAAAAATCCACCGAGGGCAGGCAACAAAATTCTGCCCGCAATGGCTTCCATACCTCCGGTTTGATTCTCCCTGCACTTTCCGTTGAATATTGAGTAACTTTTTTACACTTTTCTTTGGGACTCTGGTTCTCCAAAGCAAGTTCAAAGGAAGTCCGATATCGCTGAGGAGCCAGCTCAGCTTCGGGACAGTTGCATAGCTCTTCAGAATCTGGAACTCCGTCCTCATTTTCAGCACTGCTGCACGGAACCACAGAAACATCGATGACGAATGGCGTCGGCGACAAGTAAAGGCACACAGAAGATTCAACTAGCTCAGTTGGCGGAGAAGTTCTACATGTATCAATGTCTGATGAAGAATTAGAAATGACAGTTGTGTTTGCGAGGTGTGCTTCATCGTCTTCAGTGGATAAACTCAGACATGGTCCTGAGTGTTTATGGAATGGTTGATCAGCTATAGATGAGGAAATTTCCACAGTGCTCACAAATTGGTCTATAGCTTCAGGAGCTACCAATGTAGTCGGACATGACTTTGACGTAGTTCTTGATTCTGGCACAATGGCCTCCTCTCGGGGTGGGGTGATCTTCTCTTGAGCCTGGGGTTTTGGATGGCATCTTGGTGGGGAGGCTTCCTCCAGTAGCCTTCCCTGCTCCTGCAGAAGACTCTCAACGTGCTCCAAGTAGCGCATCTCCTCCTCCAAGTCCCCTACATCCCCGATGCTGTCCGCATTAGCCACCATGCTCACTGGCGTGTCTGTATCACTCACCAGGTCTGCGCATATCAACTCATCTGATCTAGTATCAGAAGGACACTCAACACAGTTGTGGATATCATTAGTCTCGGAGACATTTTTTGTGTCTGTACAATGGCCAGCTGAGTTTTGCTTCGGTACTGAATGCTGGGTATCAGTCACACTGGAGTGTCTGGAATGTGCTGGCGTTTTCTCCTCATCCAGGCACGGAAGGGTCGGAACCATACTTATCTGGCTGGATTTCCGTTTCAGGACTTTCAGATTCGATTTACAAGTACTACTCTCTTCCACAACTCCATTTTCAACCACTGCTGATGGTGTCTTAATATCCTCAAAGAAAGTATGAACCACATTAGTTCTATCCGTGTCTGATTCAGGCACTGATGGAGAAACTTCTTTAGAACGACCTAAGATTGCCTCCACAGACTCCATTATGCTTGGAATGTCCTCCAGCGGGAAGCAGTCAAAATTCACTGATTTCATCTTGGACAGTGCGGGTCTCCTTTTGGTGGAATTTCCAGCCTCTTCATCTTTGATGAGTTTCTTGGCCTCTGTGGCCTGTTTGATGTTCTCTTGCAGTGTAGTCAGGATTTCCACCACTGTCTTAGGGCCTGGAGAAACCTCCTGCTTTTCAGCCTCTGTTGGGTACGTCCCCGAGCGCTGACGCGGGACATGCAAGGTCCTAACCGGTAACGCGGGTCCGTCACCATCAAATGGCGAGTCCTCCAGGCTGGAGATGCTGATCCCACTAAAGGTGCTTCCCATCCGATCATAGCTGCTCCTGGACTCCCGGAACGACTTCCGCGACCGCGCAATCCTCTCCGCGTTGGATACGGTGGAGGACCGTTCTGATACCGAGTTCCCCTCCTCCTCAAAGACAGTGTCTGAGGCATCTTGGGCAGCCTCGTCTCGCTCAAAACTCTCCAGCACACCAAAGTCATCAAAGCTGGTCTGGATGAGTTTGTTTCCCATTTCAGGCCGGCTGTTGTTGCCCTCCCCACTAACCCTCTGAGGAGAGCCATTGCGATCCTCAAGGCAGGGTGAATTGGAAGCAATCGTTGAGTCCATGACTTCATCGGCGAAGCCGCTGCTGTCTGACTGAGCACTGTCGGTGCGAACAAGAGGCTCTGGAAACAAAAAAAGTACAAGTAACAGAAAACAGTTGAGAGATACAAATACAGCTTCATTTACCGTTTGAAGGATCTAGCCGTGCTCGTGACTACAGCGCAACAGAGAAAGAAAATCAGGTTACAGATTTCCGGTTAAGTCAGACGTGGCAGGGCTTTCACTGGCTGCTTCCGATATCACCGGCCAGTCTTGCATTACTCTGTGTACCATGCAGGCATAGTATTTCACTAATGTGCAAACCCATCCAGTTTGCCCTATGTGTGCGTGTGACTCGTTAAAGGCTAAGGTGTCACAGCGCAAGAGAAACTGATATTCTCATTATCTATGGTGAGTTTTTGCAGGTACATGTACCATTAGTTGATGACAAATTTATCTAGGACCATGGTAAAAAGATTGGTACTTTGTGGAAATTGTAGCTGAATGTCTTTGTTTATTTAACAAACATCACAAACACAAAAGACACTTGCTGATAAAACTGAAGCACAAAGATCAATATTGCTTTGAATGGGTCTCCATCAGTAAAACATGTTGTGGTTAAAAGGTAACACTTTCCCAAACTTGTAGAATCAGCATTGTCAATGTTTGAAACACTTTTTTAATCAAACCTCAACGGCGAGAGTTACATTATGTAAATTCCCATTGAAAGTACATGTCTACTATCTGTTACCCAACCACGAGGGCGAATGGAACACTGCTATGAAGTGTGTCTGTGGCATATGGAACACAGACGCACTACATTTTTCATGTTCCATGAGGGCGAGTGGGATAATGAATTTATCTTCAAGACTCAAGCTAACTTGAAGCACAGTGAAGATGGAATACCCACACTACAGAAACTTTCCAACAGTTATCCTATGGAATAGCGAGATACCTGGAGTGCGATATGGACTGTGGTTTCGGGATAATACCACACTATTGTTGCCATGGATTGACAAATCAGGATCAGAAATTAACTTTGCTTGAAGATAAAAACGCAGATATGCATGTACGGTAGTACGCAAATCCACCTCTACTGAATTTTAGCCATTTTATGGGGATTGTATCTGCTTAATATTGGTCTGATAACATAATCAAAATAGCCATTAAGCCAATATAACTGTAAGCTTCTTAATGGAATTAATGCTTTTGAAATGCTGGCTTAATCTATCATTAAAGCATACAGTATATTAATGCACATGGATCACTCAAAACAACTTAATGTTTTGAAGACAAAAATGCCTGTAACATGTAATTCCCTTTGACGCATCAGTCAAAAGTATTTGTCACGACCCTCTCTCCCAGAACTACACGTTAACTCAAATTTTGCCAAGAAGCACTCACAGAGTATTGAGCCCGACACGAAGCCAGCACGATGCGCAGACACGATCCACAGATCAAGGGTTTCCCCTGGTACTAATGGCCTGCAGCTTCTGTGCGTAATGACCCAACGACGCTAAATGAGCCAGAGGATAAGCACTAATACAAAGTGATTCCGCATGCAGCCAGTGAGAGGTAGAGAAAAGGGAGAGGGTGGACAAGATCTGGACTGTGGCTTGGGAAGCACACACAACTATCACGGCCAAAACACATATATCGGTTGCCCGGCGAGAGCGCGCGTCGTGATTTAATCATCTCCGTGACGGAAGACCAGCAAACCTGTAGAGAGAAGGGGGAAGCAGGGAGCGTTACCCTCTCTCTCTCCATCGAGGGATCACACGCATGCCGCATCACTAGCGCGGATTAAATGTCAGCGTATCCCCGAGTGATGAACTCAGACGCATCCCGCCATCCACCTTTGCTTGTTAGTATTTGCCACTTGTAAAGTACTCTTGTTCTCAAAGGAATCCTCCCTGCTATCCTTCCATTTCCAATTCTGTATCTTTTGACGAATTGTATACCAACTAAATATACATATATACAGCTTTTGCGCGTCCTTCGTTTAGTCACCTTTATGCACCTCATTGTCAGACATCAGGGAATATATTGTAAAGACACAACGTTGTAGAAAAAGAGGCAAGTTGAGTAAAGGATGAAAATGTCAACCTAACTCTGCAATTCTATTGTTTTGCATCTAAGATGAAATTCAGACATGCATGCAAAACTAAATAGGTTTTCTCGCTGATGTGTATGTATGATGGAGTATAGAAATTAGTTTTATGCTCCAGCAATTTCTTTAATCAATGTACCAGTCATGTGAGTGAATCACAAAAATTCATATATCTACTTATCTATGCCTAACATTTGATTAAAAAAAAGACATTCAAAACATCACTGTAATTGTGACTTCTACTTAATTTGAATTTTCATTTTCCAAACAACAGAACTGATTGCGTATAAAGTCACATTATGTCATGGGTATTTTCAGTTAAAATCTAGACATTGTCTATCTTCGAGATATTCAAATTAAGAAAAACAATGTTGGCGAGGGTTACAAATTCATCTAGTGAATCTAAGCCCAGCTAGGCTCTTTCAAAAATTGATTTATCTTTTTATCCAAACGTATTTTCAATTTGTTTTTTTTTTTTCAAATAAAGCCTACATGTACGACTTTGGATGTCTGCATCCCTCTGGAAAAAGGTCTTTCATTTTGCTCACAAATGAACCCGCCCAGCGAGGGCTGAATTATTGTCTGGGAGCCAATAAAATGAATTTTGAGAAGAAATAATTCAATAACTAAATGTTGTTGAATTTTTTTCCTTCAAGGTCTCACTCAAAATTTACAAATTTACAATAGCAATCCAAAAATGTAGCATACGGGTAACGCATCTTTTACAACTTAAAAGTTTTAAATTACCTGCTAGAAAAAAAAGGCACAATGAAGATTTTCCGAAACTCAACCTACATAAACTTCTTAAAGTATTGAAGCGAATGTTTTGAGGACATTTGTTTTTATACGGTGGTATTTTTTTTTTTTTTTTCTTTCATTTTTTTTTCCTACAAATGCGAATCATGTACATGTAGATGTGTGCTGTCTGGAAAGTACAGTGTCTTCATGGTCGTACAATTTCTGTACTTTCTCCACTGAAACAGATCCACAGACAAATTATGGGGTCATCCTGGTCCCCATGTGTTCAATGGGTAATTTTGTTAAGCATTTCATAACCCATCCCTACCGCTAGCTCAGTTGCTCTCTCTTTCAATTGATGAATTGCCTGCAACTTTCAAAAAGAAAACGTTGACGAGTTCATTAAGCGGGCTTAGAGAAACCAGCTGCACCCCACTTGACTTCAATAACCAATTTGGAATATTCATTTCGATTGAGTGATCATCTTCGGTTGGGTTTTTGAAGAAAATAAAGACACATACATTTGCTACATGATGTTTCTCCTGTGAACGCGGCCTTCACAGTGGTTTGATGCTGGATAGAGTGGTAATTTCCCTGGCCTGACAATAACTGATCGACTTTGTTAGCTCAAAGTGCATCGATGCAAATGTCAGGGGGACATTGACGCCAGGGACGAACTGAATTTCCTTTTACGTTTTGACTAGTAAACATAGTTTTTCTTTTATACAGGTTTGATTGCTTACATAAAGGTGCTGAATACAAGTTAATTATGTATGAGTATTTGCAGGATTATAAGGAGATATAGAATTTCCCCCAGAAGCCCCAAGCACTTTAGATTATTTGACATGAATCAAATTTTGCAAAATTTTGATAAAAAGAGCAAGGTTAACCCCTTACAAACGTAAATTTTTGAGAAAATCCTGATTTTGCCCAATTTTGATAAAAAGATCAAGGTTAACCCCTTACAAACGTTAATTTTTGAGAAAAAAACAACTTTTGCCCAATTTTGATAAAAAGAGCAAGGCTAACCCCTTACAAATGTTAAATTTTGACAAAAATCAAATTTGCCCAATTTTGATAAAAAGAGCAGGGTTAACCCCTTACAAACATTAATTTTTGAGAAAAACCTACTTTTGCCCAATTTTGATAAAAAGAGCAAAGCTTTCCCCTTACAATTGTTAATTTTTGAGAAAATCCTAATTTTGTCCAATTTCGATAAAAAGAGCAAGGCTAACCCCTTAGCCCCCGTTCTTTGGGCAATAAGATTCAGATTTATGCAGCAGTGCAATCTGTTCTCTAATGCTCACTGTAACTCATACTCCTGGGTGGAGAGAGGACAATTTGTGTAAAGTCTCACAAGCACACAAGCATCATGATCCCCAAACAAATCCCCTAGAGTCAGACTCCTAGTCCACTGAACAAGTGCATCATTCCAACCCTCACAGGTCCTTCAAAATCCTCCTGGAGTTTTTGTAGGATTTCAAAGGATCGAGGAAGCTAAAGCCCAGTCTCTATTAATTTACTTCAGGCTTGAGTACAAAGAATGTTCAATTTGTTTGCTGCATGATAGAGAATTCGATTGGATCCAGGAAGTTTCCTTGCAAAAACACCTTTTAATTACATGTAAGTTTGTCACTTGTTGACAATTAACAGTATTGTATGTTGTGAATAAAAGGCACAAAATGATGTTTATATTAATTTTACCAGATCTGTTGAGATTTGAGAAACATTTTGTACCACGGATGACACAAGACAAATGAGCGCATCAAAGGAAAAGGATGTAGCACACAATATACATGTGCCAAGGATAAGCAAGATAAGGCAAGCCTGGTCCCTGACTAGTCAGTCAGATAGTTAAAGGGACACTAGGTCCTAAAACAGCCCAATTGGGCTACAAAACGCGCTTTGAACGAGATGATGTTAATCGGAAAGAACATTTAAAAGTAGGATATAAACATCCTCACAACTATCCTTTAAAAACTGGGCGTTTTTGTGTTATTCCTGTATTATTCGTGCGAGAACGAATTTCGGGGTCCACTTTTGCGCCCCCATAAATTCGAGCTGTTTGGATGCTAGTTGTGGTTTCATTCATAAAGTGTTCATCTTTCTTTGGACATCGTTTTTCGAATAAATCCTTTACGAAAATTATGTTCCAACGTTGAAGGACTTATTTTCAACAGTTATATGTTTCGGACTTGATAAAAAGTATTATTTATAATTTTAAAACAGTTGAAA